GCCAATCTTCAAACTAAACTTGACAATTCATTATTGGACATTCTTAAAACATCAGGAATAATCTTTGAAATATTAAATAATAATAAATCACAATCAAATTTATTAACCGGACCCAATAATCAATTAATAACTCCAACTATTACTAATCAGCTACAGCTGCAAATATCCAAATTTGATGAGATTTTAGATGAGACATTACTGAAGTTTAATGATGCTAAATGGTGTATTGAGCAAATGCTTGAGAATAAGCAGCGACAAGAAGAACTTAAACTCAAAGAGGAAATGGAAAAACAAAGACGGTTGAAGGAAGAAGAGGAAAGAAAGATAAAAGAAGAGCAAGAGAGGATATTGAGGGAACAAGAAGAAAAGAGAAAGAAGGAAGAAGAAGAAGCTAAAGCGAAAGCTGCCGCGGCTGCTGCTGCTAAGGCAAAAGCAGAAGAAGAAGTTAGACTTAAACGAGAGCAAGCTGAGAGAGAACAGGAACAAGAGAGACAACGACAACAGAAACAAAGGGAAAATGAAGAACAGAAGAGACAACAAGAATTACAAAAGCAACAAGAAGAACAAAGAAAACAGCAAGAAGCAGCTGCCCAACAACAACAGCAACAGCAGCAAAAGCAACAGTCCTTCAGTGGATTTGATGAGTTCATATCTCCAGGATTTGATTTGGGTGAATTACTGAATACAAATCAAAATCCATCAGATATACTATCTTCTATGAATTTTAATGATTTGAATTTAGACATGCCTACAGGGGCTGGAAGTGGTAATGATAACAACGATGAAGCTAATGCATTAGTTGGTGGATTAGAAAATAATGGGGATGATATGGATTTAGATATGAATAATTTATTAGGTACTGATGAACTGATCTTAGATGGATTGAATATGAGTTTATTAGATTCAGGAATGGATGGTACTAATAATGCGCCAATGCCAAATGATGATGAGTTTGATGTTGATAATTTCTTGAATCAATTTGGAGGTAATGATTAAAATGGAATCATGTAGGGACTAATTGAAATAACTTGGTTAGTTGTATGTAGTTATACTAGACAATGTATTTATATACTTCCTAATTAGGAAGTCTAGGTTGATCCAATAAAAATGCGTAGTTTTTATTTATATGCCGGAATATTCCACTGTAAGTTCGGACACTCAAAATTTGTGTGCTGAAAAAAGAAGAATTTTTCAAAGTTAAGTAAAGGGTTTACGAAATACTCTTCAACTTCACTTATTCATTAAAAGGTCAAACATGTTTAGACAAGCCATTCGTCAAGTTGCTAAGCAATCCTCTGTTGTCAGAAGAACTTATGCCACTGAAGCTGCTAGTGCTTCAGATGCCCTTAGATTATCTTTAGCATTACCACATCAAACCTTATATTCCGATTCTGAAGTTGAACAAGTCAATTTACCATCTGTTAATGGTGATTTAGGTATCTTAGCCAACCATATCCCAATTGTTGAACAATTAAGACCAGGATTATTAGAAATTATTTCTAAAGGTGGAGAAACTGAACAATATTTTGTTAGTGGAGGTATTGCTACCGTTCAACCAGGTAACAAATTAACCATTTCTGCAATTGAAGCTTTCAGGCCAACTGAAATTGATGCTTATGCTGTCAAGACTTTGATTGCTGATGCTCAAAAGAGAGCCGAATCTTCTGATGAAGTTGTTGTTGCTGAAGCAAACATTGAATTAGAAGTTTTGGAAGCTTTACAACTTGTTGCTAAATAAATGCGGTAGGTGAATATTTATTGTTACATATAATGATATATTTCAAAAGAGATAATGTGGTGTATTTTATTTTTACTTCATATACATAAGTTGAGTTTTTTTGTTAAGTTGTTGTCATTTAAACGTATATATAAATATAAGGAATGCCTGAAGGAAAAAGAAGAAGAAGAAAGGAATGATCATAATAGAGGAAATGGACTATAATCTTATTGATATCTTGTGAATCGTGTTTCTGTTCTTTCCAAAGGGTATGATATGTATGTTATATAGAATTTTCATAAATAATATTTAAAGAGGTATAAATATCAATTTGTAGATTGGCGTATCAATTGATCATTTCAAGGTTTGTGTTCAGATTAGAATTCTTCTGTGATATTGCAAGCCTTCTGTGATATCTATCACAGTGTGCCTTAGCCGAAGCAAACACAGTTAGTCTTCCAAGCATGTACTGAAAAGAGCTACTGAAAGCTGAAATGAATGTGAAAGGAACACAAGCTTAAGACAGAGACAACAAGAAAGTAATGAGCGTCCCAATTGCCCGAGCTACTTGGAAGATGTACTATGTATTTCAACTATTGGATAGTAATGAACCAGTCGCTTTAAATTTGTGACAAAAGTTGGTCAAATTTCTAAAGAAATTCTCAAAATCTATCAAAAAATGCCATAAATCAGATGTCCTATATACAATGGTAGCAATTTGTTAGAAGCTCTAGAGGGATCGATACTTTAGCATCCTCTTCTCTTGCAATCTGAATGCAGTTTGAAGTAACCGACCAGTGTCAAGGTCAATTAATGGTTTGGTTGCAAAATTTAAAAAAAAACAGGCAATAATCAGATCACGTGATTTTTTGAAGAGGGGTGTTCCTGCTTCTGCTGGCAAAAATCAATTTTCTTTGTGATTGAGATGAATTCGACCTTCTTGAAAATTCAATACAGGCGTTTTTATATTTTGTGGGATTGTTTAATTTTTCGCTTTTGACAGTTTTTTATTTATTTATTCAAATTTCTAATTTTAGAAAAGAGATTGCTGGTTAGTTGATTGAGCGATCAATTAATGTTAAATAAATTTGAACACTCGGTCTAATCGAATGATAGAAATGTTTTACAATATCTGGCTCCTGAAATTAAGGGGGTAATGAGACAGAAATCTAGAAATCTTACCTGAAAAAAAATAAAATCTCGGAAAAAGTGTGAAGAAGATGAAAAAAAAAAATTCGTTTTATTTTTTTATTATTGAGAAGGTCGATTGTAACGCGCATAGAACATCCATCCTGCAATATCTAACAAAGTAATATTATTCCGGCCCCACCTGCCCACAAACGAATTCAAAATTTTTATTTTTCATTTTGTGTTTATGGGGAAGAACCTTACAAATTCTAAATTAGATGATCAAATCACACTCCTCTCTAAACCAATTAACACATTTTTCACAACTATAAATATCCTTTTGAATTTCCCCTTTGCAATTTTTTTTTGGCAATTGACTTTTGACTTTTTCCTTCTTTCTTCTTCCTTTCATCAATCACTTTAATTGAATCCCCCCATACACATACACAATGACTCCAAACCCATCTTTAGTCCTTAACAAGATCGACGACATCACCTTTGAAACTTACGATGCTCCAGAAATCGTTGAACCAACCGACGTTATTGTCGAAGTCAAGAAAACCGGTATCTGTGGTTCTGATATCCATTACTACGCCCACGGTAAGATTGGTCCATTCGTCTTAACCAAACCAATGGTCTTAGGTCACGAATCCGCTGGTATTGTCGCCAAGGTCGGTCCAAAGGTTACCACCGTCAAGGTTGGTGACAGAGTTGCCATTGAACCAGGTGTGCCATCAAGATTATCCAAAGAATACAAATCTGGTCATTATAACTTATGTCCACACATGTGTTTTGCTGCCACTCCAAACTCCACTGAAGGTGAACCAAACCCACCAGGTACTTTATGTAAATACTTCAAATCCCCAGAAGATTTCTTAGTCAAATTACCAGATCACGTTTCTTTAGAATTAGGTGCTATGGTTGAACCATTATCTGTTGGTGTCCACGCTTGTAAATTAGGTAGTGTTAAGTTCGGTGACAAAGTCGCTGTCTTCGGTGCTGGTCCAGTTGGTTTATTAGCCGCTGCCACTGCTACCGCCATGGGTGCTTCCAAGGTTATCATTGTTGATATCTTTGACAACAAATTACAAATGGCCAAGGATATTGGTGCTGCTTCCCACATCTTCAACTCCAAGACCGGTGGTGACTATAATGATTTAATCAAGGCTTTCGACGGTTTCCAACCAACTGTTATCTTAGAATGTACTGGTGCTGAACCATGTATTAACATGGGTGTCATGATTGCTGCCCCAGGTGGTAGATTCGTTCAAGTCGGTAACGCTGGTGCTTCTGTTAAATTCCCAATCACTGAATTCGCCACTAAGGAATTAACCTTATTTGGTTCTTTCAGATATGATTATGGTGATTATCAAACTGCTGTCAACATCTTTGACAAGAACTACGAAAACGGTAAAGATAAGGCCCCAATTGATTTCGAACAATTAATCACCCACAGATTCAAGTTCGAAGATGCTATCAAGGCTTACGACTTAGTCAGAGCCGGTAGTGGTGCTGTCAAGTGTTTGATTGATGGTCCATTGTAAATAAATCATTCAAAATAATCATTTAATTAAATAATTTATAGAAATAAGTAGCATTGATTGTGAAGGGTATTTTTTTAATGAATAAATAATAAAGTTAATAATTAATTAAGTTCGGTTTGTAGTTTAGTGTTGGCTATTTGTCGAGAATACGTAAACATCCAATACTTGGGGTTCTTGTTTTCGTATATTGGCTGCAAATCATTTTTTTTTCTTTAAACCGTATCGCTTAAATTATACACTAAAATTAGTCTAAGTTAACCTCAGATCAGCCACGAATCCCCTTTGCATTTCACAATCAAATCTCTATTGACGACATCCAATACTATCAAAATTTCAAAGCGTTTCCAAAATATCATGTGTGACAAGACAATAGGCAATATTCATAGTTGACGGAGCCAAACAGGAACTACCCGATACAAAGAACAACTCTTCGGCTTCGCAATAAATTTCGGGGCTAAATGCATTCAAAATAGAATCACTCCGGAGTATACCCTGAGGGCCTACTCTTCTACTATGTTCACGGTTGCAAATAAACTACGTGTCCAAGAAAAAGATTTTCGGAAAAATGTATGGGCTAAATCTAATACATTTTTCCGAGTAAAATCAGAACATCCATTCATCAATACATAAAAGTTACATCTTCCCGAATACTATCCCCACACATACAAACACAATTTTTTGCAATTGATTTTGAAAGAACCATTGTTTTGAAATATAGGGGGAGGGCTGGCCCGTTTTTGAAGTATAAATATTCCTTTGAATCCCTAATTGATTTCTTCCCTTTTTTCTATTTCTCTATCAAACATCTTTCCTTAGACTTAAAACAATTGATTCACCAAAACATAAAATGACAGTTATTCCAAACCCATCATTAGTTCTTAATAAGATCGACGACATCACTTTCGAAACCTATGAAGCTCCCGAAATCACCCAACCTAATGAAGTAATCGTCGAAGTCAAAAAAACCGGTATTTGCGGCTCCGACATTAAATACTATGCTCATGGAGAAATTGGCCCATTCAAACTAAAACATCCAATGGTATTAGGTCACGAATCCGCTGGGATTGTATCCAAAATCGGTCCCGGGGTAACCACTTTAAAAGTCGGTGATCGAGTTGCTATTGAACCTGGTATTCCTTCAAGATTGAGTAATGAATACAAAATGGGGAAATATCATTTATGTCCCCATATGTGTTTTGCCGCTACTCCAAATGGAGATAAACCAAATGCTCCAGGTACTTTATGTAAATATTATAAATCACCGGAAGATTTTTTATTTAAATTGCCTGATCATGTTAGTTTGGAATTAGGTGCTATGGTTGAACCAATGTCTGTAGGTGTTCATGGATGTAAATTGGGTGGAGTTAAATTTGGTGATAAAGTGGCTGTATTTGGTGCTGGACCAGTTGGGATTTTGACAGCAGCAGCTGCTACTGCAATGGGTGCATCTAAAGTTATTATTGTTGATATTTTTGATCATAAATTACAAATGGCAAAAGAGATTGGTGCCGCTAGTCATATTTTTAATTCCAAGACTGGTGGGGATTATAAGGATTTAATTAAAACTTTTGATGGTGATCATCCAACGGTGATTTTGGAATGTAGTGGTGCAGAACCATGTATTATTATGGGAGTTATGGCTGCTGCTCCAGGTGGTAGATTTGTTCAAGTTGGTAATTCGGTTGGACATGTTAAATTCCCAATTACTGAATTTGCAACCAGAGAATTAATCTTATATGGATCTTTTAGATATGATTATGGTGATTATCAAACTTCAATTAATATTTTTGATAAGAATTATAAAGATGGGAAAGATAAAGCACCAATTGATTTTGAAAGATTAATTACCCATAGATTTAAGTTTGAAGATGCTATTAAGGCTTATGATTTAGTTAGAGGTGGAAATGGTGCTGTAAAGTGCTTGATTGATGGTCCTTTGTAAGTGACTTGCGATTAGCAATTTTTTTAGTTGTAGAATTTATAGAAAGTAGTTTTTGATTGTGTTTTGTGAATGGATATTCTTCTGCTTAAGTAATATGCATTTCCTCTGTAAGGTAATATCATCTTGAAGTGAGACAATTGTGATAGCCAATTGGTTGCAAAAATAACAATTCCATAGTGTTAGGAGGAATCACAAGAAAATGGTTTCAACTTCTCCTATGTTTTTGTTTTATGTAGTGGATTTATCCTTAATACGAAGTTTCCAAGAGCATATAGTGCATTGACTAGGTTTTTTACACGCACTTTATAGAGTGATCTCCAAAGCAGACTGCCTGGTGACAACTTTGGTTGAATGAAAAATTGTCCTGCATATAAATCAACCTCATACTCAAAGCAAAAAATTTTCATTCAATTTTTAAGTGAGCTTGTTCACTATCAATTGAACACTATACAGCAACCGAAACAACAACAGCTAGAACAATGTCATTAACACCTAAGGAAGCTTTTGCTAAACTTCCACAGAAACTTCATAAGTTCTTTATGAAATATCCACCTAGACCATTTGCTCAATATGCTGATAAACCAAGTACAGTAGATGATCCATTAAAGAATCCATTTATGCCAAATAAAACCAAAACAGGAGTATGGCATACAGCTAAATATTCACGTAGAAGATCAGCTGATTTATATAAGTTAGCATATAAGTTTGGTATTCATACTTTATTACCTCCAACCCCAAGAAAATTCTATGAAGATAAATATGAAAATAAGAACTGGATGAGAGGTGTGTTATATAATAAGAAATCAAAGAGAGAAAGAGAAAGACCAGAGAAACTTGCTTCCAAAGAAGAAGCATTGGCAAAGATGGATGAAACTATTCTTGCTGCCAGACCAGAATTTAAGAAGAAGTTTGCCAAACTAGAAGAAAAGAGAAAGAAGGCTTGGTATTAAGCTGGAGTGGGTTTTGTATATCTGTAAATAGTTGTATATATATATTACAATAATAATAATAATAGCAATAACAATAGAATATTCTATATTGGCCTTGAACGGCGACCTTGTTGCAGTTTTGGTTTGAATGGTTTTCTAATATTTCCACCACCAGTAGCACCACCACCAGCAGCAGCAGCAGGACCAGCACCATGACCTTTTATTTTATTATTAGTGGCACATTTAGTTAAGATTGAATCTATATTAAGTTGATCCGGTAATATTATTTGTCTTATTTGATTACCTCTTATATTTATATAATTTAATAAACTTGGATCTTGAAATTGTTGTTGTAATTTAACATTTTTAAGGGAAAGATTCATAGTTGGTGAACATGATAATAAATTACCAGTTATACTTGTACCATTCTTTAATTCTACTGTTATTGGTTGATTAGTAGAATTGGGTATATTCATTAAGAAATGAACGAGCTTCATATTGACTACGTTGCTATTGCTATATATGGCTATCCACTTTAGTGGTTTATCTTTCTAATAGAGAGAGATGGAGAGAGATGAAATCTTTTTTCTGTGGTGGTTTGAATTGTGAAGGGAATTTAGTGCGACTTATTAGACAACTGGTAGCACCACTTCTCCCCCCGCCACCCAGAAAGAAATAAAAATTGAATTCTCTTTCTCTCGGTAAATTTTATCACACATTTTGAAAAAAAATTGAATTACGTATTTCAAATCGAAATCACTCGTTGATTTCAACATTTATTCAACATTAAATAACCAAATAATATAAGCAAATAAACAAGTAACGCAAATAATCCAAACAAGCCAAACAGCAAACATGTCATCAAATCCAATTCTAGCTAGTATCAAAAGGATTCCACCAGTTACAAGATTCTTTACTATTGGATCAGTATTAGCATGTATTGGAATATCAACATTTAATGGTTTTGATAAATTATTTATTAATTATCCAATTTTAAGTTATTTAATTTTGGTAACAAAGTATTCATTTCAAAATGATAAAACTTATCTTGCTAAATCAATGACTTTATTTACTGGTTTAATTCAATTTTATAAATTCTTTTCATCATTTATAATTCCTCTGGGAATTCTACTGAAAGATATAAGTACTTTATTAAATATTTATTTCTTTTATACTTTTTCAAATCATTTAGAAATTGGTAAATTTGGTGGTATTTTTCCTGATTATGTTTGGTTTATCTTATTAAATGGTATTATGATTCAAATAGTCCGGTTAGGATTAGAATGTTTATCTCCAACTATTGCTCTGATGATTACTTATCCTCATGAAATGTTATTAGCATGTCTTACTTATATTTGGTCAAGACAAAATAAAAATGCTACAATTAATTTAATGGGTCTTATTCCAATAAAAGCTTATTATTTACCTTTAGGTAATATTATAGTTAATGGTATTGTAGGAGGTCCAATTGCTGTAACTGGTTCATTAATTGGAATTATGTCAGGATATTTATATCTTTGTTTACAATCTCAAACAACTCCAATTTATAATTTATTTCCAGGAGCTTATGGAACTCCCATGAATAGAACAGCTAGTGGTAGAAGAGTAGGTGCTACATCTATTGATCGTCCAGGTACTAGAACTCCTATTGAAGCTGAATTTATTGGGGATTCAATTTATGATTCTGGGTATTTAAGAGCTCCTACTTGGTTATATAATTTTTTGAATTATCCACGCGTAAGACCAAATAATGGAACAGTTCCATTAGTAAATAGAACTGGAAATATGTCAAGAATGCAACAACAACAAGCAACTGCAGATAGTGTTAGTTCTGGTAACTCATGGTTTAGTGGGAATAAAGCAGATGGAGAAAGTCCTGTCTTTAGAGGAAAAGGTCAAAGATTAGGAGGTTGAGAAAAGGAAGGGAATCGTGGTTGTTGTTTGGTGTGGTGAGGTTTGGGCGAATCTTTAGATGTAAGTTTTTATAGGAGTGTATGTAATATTGTATATGTACAGTATATATCTAGTACGGAATTAGAAGAATACAGTAAGATTCTAACTATTTGTAGTCGTAGATCGTGTTTCCAGGGTGATTACATTTCTTCCACCGTGTTACTATTGTTTATTGTTGATGTAAAGTGGGTTAATCCCTGTATGGAATACAATCAAATTATGATGTAATCAATTGTTCCATAATAGAAACATTTTGGACCAGAAAAACTGAAAACTCCGCAGAAATTGAAATTAGACAAGAATTTTTATTTTTACAACCAATTTCCATTCATCTTCCGATTCCTTCCGTTTCTCTCTTCTTCTACTACTTATACTTCCAATAGACATCCAATCAAACAACAGTACAAATGTCTAACACTCCTGTGCAGGGATCTTCTTCACGTGCACCATTTCCATTACCTTTGCCTGAAGAATTCTCTCGTACTTCAAGTACAACCAATTTACTGTCAACTACAAGTTTACGTAAGTCAAGATTAAGAAAACGATCAAAATCAACCTTAAAAAGATCAACAACTCCAAGTCAGAAATTGATCTTTTCTGTGGATGATGATATCAATGATAGAATAGATGAAGATTTATCTGATGCTGAAGCTGATGATACTTTATCAGTAGTTAGAAGTGATCGAGTATATTTAGAAGGTTATAGTGATGCATTAAAGGCTTTATACCATCGCAAGACTAAATCACCTTTGATTAATCCATCTACTGAACCCATTAGTGATTCTCCAAAAAAATCTCCAGAAGAAGTAGCACAACTTGAATCAACAATTGCAAAAGATTTACAAGAAGCTGAAGAAAGTATAAGGGTTTTAGAAGAAATCGTAGATTCAAGAAGAGATAGTCTTAAAGATAATGAATCTGAAATTGCTGAGTATAGAGAAGAAGATGCAGATGTGTCCCAAAGACTTGATAATGACGATGATGAAGCAAGATCACTCAGATCAATTGATAGTGTAGGTTCATTAAACTTACGAGAAAGACAAGATGCAATCAATTCTACCCATCCTTTTGGTATTAAGATTTGGAAACCATCATTATATAAGAAGAAGAGATCAGTTGCTACTAGAGCAGAAGAAGATATTCATGATTTCGACCCAAGAAAACCAACAACTACAATTTCTTGGGGAGTTATCCTTACAAATTTAGTCTGGGGTTTCACTACTGGATTATTTATTTATTTAATTTGTTTAATTGGTGCCGCATTTGTATTTGTGTTTTCAGGATTTGCCATACAAAGACGTCTGAGACCTTATGTTAAATTATTATTAAAATTGGGAAGATATTGGTTATTCCCATTTGGAAAATTTGTATTGATTAATAAAGATGAAAATTATTTAGAGGAAGATGAACTATATGGAAGAACTATTAATGAATTTCATCAATGGAGATTACAAGAAGAAGGGAGATTATTCTTTGCACCTCCAAGAAGATATACCAATTCTGAATCTAAACCATTACTAAAAGATGATAAAGGACGTCCTTTAAGAGATGCATATGCATCAATTGATAATGCTCCAAATGGAGTGGCATCTTCATCGACAACAGGAATACAAAGCCCGTTTACATCAAATCCTAGAAGATCTACTGGATTATCCGAATCAAGTGCCATATCAGGGGATGATGATCATGGAGATGATTCAGAATTGAATGATGTGAAAATGAGATTATTTGGTAGAGGAAGTTGGAGTGGAGGACGTCTTGCATTTTACATTTATTTTTATATCCTTTTACAACCTATATTATATCTAATTGGATTCTTCTGTTGGTTAGGTGTTTTCACAATTCCAATGGCCAAAATTACAAATATCATTAGTGTTCATTTAAGAAGACATCCATTAGCATTAGATTTTGAACAAGAAAAAGAATATTATAAAAGAATGGAAGATCCTCAAAAAAAGAAGAGAAAGAAACATCAAAGGATTCTTTTATGTACTTATAGATGTTGTGGATTCCATTATTATAAATATACCATTGATGGTACCAATATCTTTTTCATTAATTTATTGGCAGTTGTTATATTAGTGATTTTGGATTTTTATGCATTAAAAGAATCATTGAAGTTAGATATTTGGTTAACTGATTCTACGTTTATTTTCTGTGCATGTCTTTTTTCAATTATTCCATTAGCTTATTTCATTGGTCAAGCAGTTGCCTCTATTTCCGCTCAATCATCAATGGGAGTAGGTGCTGCCATTAATGCATTTTTCTCCACAATTGTTGAAATCTTTTTATATTGTGTTGCCTTGAATCAATCCAAAGGGAAATTAGTTGAAGGTTCAATGATTGGATCCATTTTAGGTGGTGTTTTATTATTGCCGGGTCTTTCAATGTGTGGTGGTGCCGTTAAGAGGAAAACACAAAGATATAACCCTCGTTCTGCTGGTGTTTCATCAACTATGTTATTATTCGCTATGCTTACCATGTTTGCTCCTTCTTTGTTTTATCAAATTTACGGAGCTTATGAAATTAAATGTAAACGATGTGATATTATTAATGATGATAGTGATTGCAATAAATGTAGATTTATCCAACCTTCATTCACACTTGACGCATTATATTATCAAGTCATAAAGCCATTTTCTTTGATTGTGGCTGCCGCATTATTCGCTGCTTATGTATGTGGATTATTTTTCACATTAAGGACTCATGCTTCTTTGATTTGGGCTACTAATGCTCATGAAGCCAAGAAACAAGAAGAACGGTTTTTAAGATCTCCAAGTGTTGCAAGTATGGTTACTCCATTGCAATTGGGTAGCACTGCAGGATTACTCCCTAATAAAATGTCCAAATTACCTCCATCAGCCCTTGGTGCTAGGGATAGTAAACAACCTTCGACATTAGATCTTCCTCGTGACCGTGCACCTCCAAATCGTGGAGATGTCACTCCTAGCCCCGTACAAAGAAGAACTAGTGTCCCAGTTAAAGTAGAAGAAGATCATCATGCTGATTTAGCTGAAGGTGGCGGTGGTCATGATGCTCCAAATTGGTCCAGAACTAAATCTACTGTTATTTTATTATCTGCAACATTATTATATGCCATTATTGCTGAAATATTAGTGAATACAGTTGATTCAATCTTGATTGATTTCCCCATCAATCCGAAATTCTTAGGGTTGACTGTATTTGCATTAGTCCCCAACACCACAGAATTTTTAAATGCTATTTCATTTGCCATTGGTGGTAATGTTGCCCTTTCGATGGAAATTGGTAGTGCATATGCTTTACAAGTGGTTTTGATCCAAATTCCATGTTTGGTATTATATTCAATCTATCAAAATTTTACTGACGTTGAACAGATTTTTTCATTGGTGTTCCCAAGATGGGATATTATTGCAACCTTGATTTCAATTTATTTGTTTACTTATGTTTATGCTGAAGGGAAATCCAATTATTTTAAAGGAGTTATATTGTGTCTTATTTATTTTGTGGTGTTGATTGGATTTTGGTTTAATGATATTATTGAGAATTTAGATGATGGATATTTTGCTGGTCCAGGGATCATGAGAAGTGGATGAGGGTTAGGCAGAAGCGGTCGAGAGAGAGAGAGAGAGAGAAAGTTTAATACATGAGTAGCGAGACATTTTTTATTTGATACCCGTCTCTATATAGTTATATAGATTTATCAATGTTTTAATAGATAAACCCTTCCTTCGTATGGAGATAATTTATCATTGCTTTTAATCGACGAGGAAGTAGATTGAAGGAATTCAAGATCTTCATTAACCAATTTCTCAAATTCAACTTCTTCAGTAGAGAAATTAATAACAGTATATGTAGTTCTATCCTTACCTTCTTTCAAGAACGTAAACAACTTGGGATTCTCAAAATCAAGAATTTTGAAATGCCCATAAATGAAAACATCCTTATATTGTTTTCTAAGTTGAATCATCTTCTTCCAAAATGATAACAACGAATCTGGGTTGCACGACTCATTCTTGACATTAATTTTTTGGTAATTATCATTTACCCTCATCCATGGTGTTCCAGATGTAAAGCCTGCATTTGGGGTCGAATCCCATTGCATAGGAGTTCTTGCATTATCCCTTGCCAACAAATTAATCTTCTTCATTAACTCATTCAACTGTTTGGCATCAGCATTTGGATTTAATTCTAAGAATTGCTTATAGTAATTCAAAGTTCCAATATCCTTATAATCGTCAATTGTCCAATCTTTGGGAACATTAACCATACCAATCTCTTGTCCTTGGAATATGAATTCTGTACCAGTAAGACAACATTGTAACATAGCCAATGCCTTCCCTGAAGCAATTCTAAATTCCGGAGAATCATTTCCAAATCTACTAATAGACCTAGGGAAATCATGATTTTCGATAAATACTGTAGACCAGGCATCAGTGCCTTCGATAAATTCACCTTGGGTTTTAACTGCTTTTTTGAAATTTAACAAATTGAACTCATGCATTCTAAACCTATCAGCGGGGTCTGTTCCAAGTTCAACCACGTCGAACAAAAACATCATATTCATTTCACATTCTTTGGCACTTACATATTTGAGAGATTCTTCACGGGTCGAATGTCCAACTTCTCCCACGGTCATGACATCAAATGGTTTCATGAGATCAGCTATTGCTTTATGGAATTCATGAATTCTTGGTCCATGCTGATGATAGATCTTACAAGGTTGGAATTCTATATCGGCGAATTTTATAGGCGCGTCTTTGAAACCTTGATGTTTTGAATACATTCCAGCAGTATCGATTCTGAATCCATCTACACCACGATCTAACCAGAATTTAATTGCTGATTGGAAAATTGCTTGTCGCGTGTCTTCATTTTCCCAATTCAAATCAGGTTGTGATTCAGCAAAAAGATGAAGGTAATATTCGTTGGTCAATTCGTCATATTTCCAAGCCGAGCCTGAGAAATAAGATCCCCAATTGTTTGGTGGGTGTCTATTACCTTCGGAATCGTATCTTGGAGGTTTCCAAATATACCAATCTCGTTTCGCGTTATCTTTGGACAATCTAGATTCTTTGAACCAAGCATGCTGATCAGAAGTATGATTGATAACTAAATCCAATATAATCTTCATTCCTCTTGAATGACATTCTTGAATCAACGTATCCATATCTTGTAAAGTACCAAAACCAGGATAAACATTTTCATAATCAGAAATATCATAACCGAAATCATTCATTGGTGAATCATACATTGGACTTAACCAAACTACATCGATTCCCAATTCTTGAAGATAAGGTAAAGTACTTGTGACACCAGGTATATCACCAACACCATCTCCATTGGAATCCTTATAAGATGTTGGCCAGATTTGATAAACAGTTGCTTCTTTCCACCACTTTTCGTCAATCATTTTTTTTGAAATGAGTTTGTTGATTTACTCTTATTCTTCTTCTTCTTCTACGACTCCTAGAACTGACACATAACGAGGGCGGTTATTCGTTTATTTATAGTTAGAAGCCATGGGTTTAATTTAGTGATCAAGAACAATAGGAGGGGGGAGTTTTATTTTTGATCTCCACACGTCTTTTTCAGCGATAATTCAAGCGAGCTACCAACCACACGGCTTTTCAGCGATAATTCAAGCGAGCTACCAACCACAAAGTGATTGCGCACCAAACTACTCCACTCCCTTCCGGACTTATTCTCGGAGAGTATTGATAAGGGAATTACCGATGGCGGAGTTATCGTATGATAAGTTCATATTATTTGGGGATTCGATAACTCAATTCAGTTGTGCACAAGATGGGGGATATGGCTTAACTCCTGCATTGCAGGAATTATATGTCCGAAAGTTAGATGTTATTAATCGTGGATTCAGTGGATACAATTCTGACCATGCCAGACTTATATTGCCGAAGATATTGGAAGCTGAATCAAATGAGGAGAAGAATAACATTAAGCTAATGACAATATTCTTTGGTACTAATGATGCTTTTCAAGTTGAGGATGAGTTAAATAACGTTCAGGCAGTTCCGTTGGATAGGTATAAAAAGAATTTGAGTGCAATGATCGAACTAGCATTGGAGTATAATATTGATCCAATTGTGATTGGCCCTGCCTTACATTACGACGAATTAGCTAGGGTAGGGTTGAAAGAGAGAGGGAGGCCATCAGATAAACCGCGAGTCACTAACAAAAGGTATTTGGAATATAGTGAATGCGCAGAAGTTGTTGCGGATAAGTATGAGGTTGCTTTTGTAGATTCATGGAATGCCTTTAGGACAGCTGGTGGATGGACTAAAGAACAAGTGTTTAATTACCAAAATACCGAAGGATTACGTGATTTCTTTCACGATGGAGTACACTTCACTCCCCAGGCATACCAAGTCTTGACTACTGAAATTCTTGATGCAATCAACTTTACTCCCTTCGTGCCCGAACTAGTTCCTGACAAGTTTAAGACTTGGGAAGATGTTCGTCTCGACGACTTGCCAGATTCAATGTTAACATCTAATAATGGTCATTTGGTTCCACCTAAGCACAGACATGCATTAAGTTACGATAAATTTATTATGCTTGGTGATTCAATCACACAATTCAGCAGTAATCAGACTGGTCCCAGTTTTGGGTTAATGCCCGCATTACAGAATGAATATATCAGAAGATTAGATGTCTTGAATCGTGGATATGCCGGGTATTATTCCGAAATGGGAAAGCATTTATTACGAAAAATATTACGTGCAGAATTGAATTCTACTAAAGATAATATTAAGTTATTAACAATATTCTTTGGAACCAATGACGCTTTTCAAATAAATGATGACTTAAGCGAAATACAATCTATACCTTTGGAAAGATATAAACAGAATTTATCAGAAATGATTGAAATGGCATTGGAGAATAACATTAGTCCAATTATTATTGGTCCTACTTTTCATGATACCGAAAGGGCGTATAAATTCTTTCATGCTCAAGGTAGAGAAGTGAATTCGCCGGCAGCTACTCATAAGCGATACTATGAATATTCCGAAGGTGCAAAAGAAGTAGCCACGAAGTATAATGTGGCATTTGTTGATCTTTGGAATGCTTTTAGAATCGATGGAGGCTGGCTGAAAGAGCAATTGTTATCTGGAAATGAAAAGGCTGGTCCTGGACGAGTACGCGATTACATATCCGATGGGATTCATTTCAAACCACTAGCGTATGCAATTGCGTATGAGGAAATTATGAAAGCGATTCGTGCACACTATCCTAAATTAGCACCAGAGAAATTGCCTGAAAAATTATCGTACTGGGCTGATATTGACCCAAACGATGTCGAATACACACTTTTTAAACCTCAAAACCCTGATTCTCCTTCAAAACAGGTGGAGATTATCGATACATCGGCACTCAAAGAAAAGGCAAGAACAATGATTGGGCAATGTTTTGAAGAATAAGGGCGAGAGTGAGAGTTTGTTAGAAGATTTAGATTTTAAAGGAGATATTCTGGATTTAGAAGATATGTATAACGAGTATGTACGTCTAGATGATACTTACTATTAGCTTATGGCTTTATAAAAAGATTTTACATAGTATATAGAACGAGAAATATGATATATTGTGCAATTAAGCTGCAATAAATAGTGAACAATTTTTGTGTAATAACAGATGATTGGATCTTTGACACATTTTTTGACACATTAAGAACAATGGGCGCGTTTTAATATCCGCATAAAAATTTGCTAACCAGCTTCCGAGGCACCCATCGACGACAAATATGGACAAGACCATTCTCTCTTATTAGTCCTAAGGGGGATTGATACATTCTCTATACGACAACAGTATTAAAGATGGCCGAGTTAGTATATGACAAATTCATATTATTTGGGGATTCGATAACTCAATTCAGTTGTGCCCAGGATGGGGGCTATGGCTTAACTCCTGCATTACAGCTGGAATATGTTCGGAAATTAGATGTTATTAATCGTGGATTTACAGGATATAACTCAGATCATGCTAGACTTGTATTACCCAAGATCTTGGAGGCTGAATCAAACGAACAGAAGAATAACATTAAGGTAATGACTATATTCTTTGGTACTAATGATGCTTTTCAAGTTGAAGATGACTTTAACAAGATCCAAGCAGTTCCTTTGAATAGATACCAGGAGAATTTATGTGCAATGATTGAATTAGCTTTAGAGTACAATATCTATCCAATTATCATTGGTCCTGCTTTGCATCATGACAAGTTAGGCAGGAAGATGTTACGAGAAGGTGGGAGACCAACCGACAAACCTATGGTAACCAATGAAAGATATTTGGAATACAGCGAATCTGCCAAGGCTGTTGCTGCACAGTACAATGTTGGTTTTGTTGATTGCTGGCATAAATTCAAAAAGTACGAAGGATGGCCAGAGGAACAAGTCTTAGATCACTTTATTAGCGACGGTATCCATTTTACTCCACCAGCGTACGAGGTGTTGACTGCAGAAGTTTCTCGTGCGGTCAGTCTCTCACAACTAGAATTTAAAGATAAATTCAGTTCCTGGGATGAGGTTCGCATTGACGACTTGCCAAGCTCGATGTTTGTGCCTACTAATACGCAATTGGATCCGCCAAAGCAGAGGCAGTTATTAAGTTATGATAAGTTCATCATGCTTGGGGACTCGCTTACAGAATTTAGCTGTGATCAGTCTGCCCCCGCGTTTGGATTAATGCCAGCATTGCAGAATGAGTATATCAGAAAATTGGATGTTTTAAATCGTGGATATGGCGGTTATAATTCAGAGATGGGAAAACATTTATTACGAAAAATATTGACTGCGGAATTGAATTCCACTAAGGATAATATTAAATTATTAACAATATTCTTTGGAACCAACGATGCCTTTCAAATTAATGATGAATTGAACAAAATTCAAGCCGTTTCTTTGAAACAATATAAGCAGAATTTATCAGAAATGATTGAAATGGCATTGGAAAACAATATTAGACCAATCATTATTGGTCCAGGTTTACATGATCACGAATTGGCAGTTCAGTTTTTTGGCTCTTTTGGGAGAAAAGTACAGGGCAAGACAGTTACCAATAAGAGATTGTTTGAATACTCTGAAGGAGCTAAGGAAGTAGCCGACAAATACAATGTTGCATTTGTCGATCTTTGGAATGCGTTTAGAATCGATGGAGGTTGGCTGACAGAACAGTTACTAAATGGTAACGAGAATGCAGGCCCTGGGAGAATAACCGATTATCTTACGGATGGTATTCATTTCAAGCCATTGGGCTATGCAATTGCATATGAAGAAGTTATGAAAGCCATTCGTAAACATTATCCTAGTTTGTCACCTGAGAAGATGCCTGAAATATTATCGGATTGGGCTGATATTGACCCAAAAGATATCGAAGCCTCAGTTTTTAGATCTCTGTACAAGCCTGGAGAAATTATCGATACTTCGGCACTTAAGGAACAGGCAAGAAAGAAGAACGATTGAGATCTGCATTTGCAAGATAATGTTGAAGCATATTGTTTGCTAGACCCTCGTTTGGGGATCACCGCGAATTATCTGGATTTCGAAGATTTAGGTAGCAATTATTGCGGATGCAAGGACGATGAAGAAGTCATATCCTGAAGTTAGATAAAGTAGGATTATAAAATTGCCGTAAATATAGATACAAACTAGAAGTACTCATAACACTTGCAAATATATCGTAAACGAATTTGTAAAATGGCCAATCGTGTTGCTTTCTTGTGACCTTGGAGCCTAAAATACGTGTTGCAAACATGAATACCCTATGAAACAGAAGCATTCGCAGTCCTTCGATTGGAGACACCGCCTTGCTGCAGGTCTCAAGGGAACCTACCACTTGCAATTTCTTATGTTCCATAGACGAGCGGCCGTATAAACTTCTCTATACAAGGATCCAAGTTCTGTAGTTTGAGCCTTTCCGTTGTTTAGAGAGAATCTATAAGGTAGGTAAAAGAGAATGTTCACGTTCTGCTAATTCTTGAGTATGTAGTATGGTAGCACTTCCCAAATGGGAAATGATTCCTCACCCCACAATAGATCGTAACTTTTGTTTGTGAAATAAAAAAACAAAGGAACATATCTCGGGGGAAATTTACAACCGCCATTACTTTGTCATTGTCATTATAAATAAAGAGCAAGACAACCCCCAAAAGATGTTAAAACAAATCAATCGACTATTTGCAGGAATCAAACTACATTCGATGTACACAGAACAAATATTAACTAATTGGAAATATCGTAAATACGATTCACAAGACAACGAAGAGGGAGAAGAATGGAAAGATTCTAGAAAGGATGTATCATGCACAGAAATCCACGCTGATTTATTAGCCAATAATGAAATCAAAGATCCATTCTTAGATATGAATGAGAAAGAAGTTCAATGGATAGGAGAAACTGATTGGGAGTACAAGAATGAATTTATTGCACCCAAAAAGGAACTTAAAGAAAATGAATTGGTTTTTGAAGGGTTGGATACTTTTGCAACTGTTTATTTAAATGATAAAGAAATTTTAAAGACTGATAATATGTTTAGAGAGTATCAAGTTAATGTTAGTGATCAATTATTATTTGGACAATTGAATACTTTACGTATTGTATTTAAGAGTGCCCTCTTAACCGCTAAAGAAATCGAAAAGAAACGTGGAACTTTGGCATGTTTCAATGGTGATCCTTGTCGTCTTTATGCAAGAAAAGCTCAGTATCATTTTGGGTGGGATTGGGGTCCAGTATTGATCACTTGTGGTCCATATAAACCAGTTAAGTTGGTTTCCTATAATACACGTGTGGAAGATGTTTATGTTAAAATTGATACTACTGATTTGACAAAACCAAAGGTTTCTGTTGAAGCCACCATCAAAACCTCACTGTCGAGCACTGTTAATGTCGAAGTAGTAGATCCTCAGGGCAATGTTATACAAACTTTCAGCAACCCTATAAAAAAATCAGGGTTGGTTTCCTATGAATTTGAAATAGAAAATCCGGAATTATGGTATCCAATTGGTCACGGGAAGCAGCCATTGTATGACGTCAATGTCTCTATTCCTTCTGGCCCAACCATTACTAAACATGTGGGGATTAGAAAAGTTGAGTTGATACAAGAAGAGTTTGCCGAGCAATCAGGTACTAGTTTCTATTTCAAAGTGAATGATATTCCGATCTATGCTACTGGTTCCAATTGGATTCCAGCTCACTCATTACAAACTATGTTAACAGATCAGGATTATAAAGATTGGTTACGATTGACCATTAACGGACATCAAAATATGATTAGAGTCTGGGCTGGAGGTTATTATGAACAAGACATATTTTATGAAGAATGTGATAGATTAGGTATTATGGTATGGCAAGATTTCATGTTTGCTTGCGGACAATATCCCGGAGATCCTGAGTTTATTGCCAATGTTTCTGAAGAAGTCAAACATCAATTAAAACGTTTAAGAAATCATTGTTCTATTACAATCTATGCCGGGAATAACGAAGATTATCAAGTTGCTGAACAATGCGGGTTAGAATGGGATCCAAATGATACATCGGGTGATTATTCTAATACAACTTTCCCTGCCAGAACAATCTATGAAACGACATTACCTAAATTAGTAAGCCAGTACCAGCCAGATGTACCTTATCATCCAGGATCTCCATGGGGCGGGAACGGCACAGCCGATCCAACAATTGGTGATTTACATCAATGGAATGTCTGGCATGGATCACAGGAGAAATATCAAAATTGGTATAAATTAGGTGGAAGATTTGTTTCCGAGTTTGGAATGGAAGCATTACCAAATAGGAAAACCTATGAACAATGCATATCTGATCCAACTGAATTATATCCTCAAAGTGAAACTGTTGATCATCATAATAAAGCCGATGGATTTGAACGTAGACTTGCCCTCTACGTGATTGAAAATATCAAGGTCCAGGGATTAGATTTTGATTCTTGGATTTATGCCACTCAATTAATGCAAGCTGAATGTCTTGGATACGCCTATAGATGTTGGAGAAGAGAATGGAGAGGGGAAGGGAAGAGATATAATGGGGGAACTATTGTTTGGCAAATCAATGATTGTTGGCCAGTTGCATCTTGGTCTATCATAGATTTTTATAAACGTCCTAAACTTGCTTATTATTCAGTTAAGAGAGAAAGTCAGCCTATCGGAGTTGGAATGTATAGAACTGAAAGAAGGGATGGGGTGGTGGTTGAAGATGAAGCATTTGGGGTTGCATTTGATTATCGTCCAACAACACTTTCTATTGATCTTTGGGGTGTGAATTCCAAGACCGAAGACCAGCCAGCCATATTGAAAGTTGATATTTATCATGTAACTTCAGGTGAAAAGTTGAAATCATTACCTGATACTGACGTTGTTTTGAAAGCTAATCTGACAACTGAATTCATTAAAGATTTGGAGATTGCAAATGACAAGCCAGTTGTTGTTTATGGTAGGTTTGTTTCTAAAGAAGATGGAAAGGTTCTTGCCTGGGCAGGAGACTGGCCACAACCATTAAAATATTTGAAATTCCCAGACAGAAAAGTCGATGTCGAAGTTCATGATGGCCATATAACTCTTACCTCTGACAAGCCGGTAAAGGGTGTTGAAATAATTGTCGACGGAAAGGATACTTTCTTGCAAGATAATGGATTTGATTTATTTCCCGGCGATACATATACGGTTGTTGCGGAAGATGTTAAGGAATCAGATAAAGTTACGATTAGATATTATCATTAGAACTTATAATTAGATTCTCTAGATTTTATATTCTAAAATAGAAGTCTCAAAGAGGCACAAATTCTTTCGAGCCCATCTCAATCTCTTTATAAGCATCCCAAGGTTGAATAAACACACTCAGAATATCTTCAAATGAAGTGCATAACTAGCTCTATGTATGGTTCCGGGGATATTACTTAGAAAAGAAAGGCCAGTTCTAACAGGAAGAAGCTGGGGATGGTATTTTTGCTCCACAACTTAAGTGAATATACATGTCACTTAACAGCTAATAAACCCCGTGACAAGATCTACGGTGGTGACTAAATATAGTTAGACTGTTCTTAGTAATAGTAGTAGTTCTTGGGGTAGAAATGTGGTTTAACGTAACAATGCATCTATATTACCAATTGAGATACAAAAAGTAGTGATTGAAAATAAATATAAATTACCGTACACCCTAATGCAAAAGCCACCCTAACGCTAAAATCGAATTCTTTGTTAAAAAAAAGTTTAAGTATTGTTCTCACATGTAAAAATGCAAAAAGTCTATTGTTCTCTTACTCGTTTCACGTAAGACGGGGGTTTGCATTACGGCATATGGTACTTTATAAAAAGAAAGAATACAAAAATTTAAGATCAAAAAATGCTCTGGAAGAAGGATCTATGAGGGATTAAGACCCAACTATCGGCAAGTGTAAACCGATGTGATGAGTATTCTAAACGTCATATAGAAACAGCATCGAGTTAACCAACAACCAAAGATAATCCATATTTGAAAATATAAGTCCGAAATCTGAGATCAATAAAAAGCAATTAAAGATGCATAAAAAATATCAATTTTTTATTTTTCTGGATACAACCATTTATTCTAGTTCTTACAGAAATATAATAAAGGTATAACAATAGAAGACTAAAACGTAAAGGTTTTAAATGAAAACGGAAATATAACAATCAAAACGGCAATCGGTAGAAACTAAAGGGGAAGATTAACCGAAAAAAATACCAGACTTAGCATATGGCCGAAACAAGTCGTGCATTAGAAACGTTTGAATCATATCTTTAAAATATCTCGATATGGCTTTTTGTTTTAAATGTACGATGAATCATTTTGCATAAAGTGAATACATGAGGTTAAAAAAGTTATAACCTGCAACAAAAAAAATTGAATGAGGTATTTTGCAATTTCGATAAAATAATTTGCGAATATTTTTTTGCAGTCAGATTTCGGCTATAGGTTCTTATTTATTCCCTCTATAGATTTGATCGCAATTAGACTAATTTTGAGAGTAGTTGGCAATTTTACCTTTCTCTGCAATAGCTTTCTTATAGCGCCTGAGCTCCCGTTTGCATCCTCGGAACTTTGTGTAATGATACCGAAGATATGGCTGGACGAACATTCATTGGAAACTATTCAGGTTTTTTGCCAGTAGAATATCATTCACAATTAATCGTGCATATTCTACACCATTCTACCAGCCATGGATAATTCTAGACCCGGACAATTAAAGTTAATGTAATATTTCAATAGTGAGTGAGATCACGTGAAGGAGATTTAGGAGTTACAAAAGTATTTCAATGCGAATTGTTTAAGAATATTTTTTATATATTTTATAATATCTTTCTTTTATATATCAACTGTTTTATATTTTAAATTATTATTGTTTTAGTGATTCAAATCCTACGATATTAATTGTAATAGTTAAGAGATACAGACGTCACCATACATATATCAATTAGTTATTAAATCCACAAAGTATATTAGTTAAAGTGATCCAATAGTTATTACTACACTCAATTTAATATACAAAACCACGTACAATTATTAAATACCAAAACTCCGAAACCGGTTTGACTTCGGAAAATATATGTTCCGGCTAAAATATTAGGCTAGCTCTAAAGATCTAGCCGAAGGGCGGTCCTGTTAGATGATTGATCTTTTCTTTTTCTCGTAATATTTCTTTTCTTTTTCTCGTACATTTCTCATCGTTATTTTCTGTGTATCATTGCATCATACTCTATTGATCATTTTAGTGTAGTTTTCGTTAGTCGGCGTCGGAACTTTCCGGGCAGGTCTAAAGTACTGTCGTTTACTTTGCGTTGCATCACGTTTGTTTAGCCTAATAGATATAATAAAAAAAATATTTTTTGTCATCTCACAAAATATTTTATTTTGCAACCAATATTATTTAACCAACAGAATGTATTTGCCTCAACTCATGGATAGTACCTTTCATCATGCAGATGCAAATGGTATATAAGTAGCAATATTCCTCTTTCATTTGATAAATCAAGATATGTTTCTTTACACCAGTAAAAGCTAACCCACTTTCCTTAAACACAAAATGCTTACACAAATAATTGCAACCAGTCTCATAGCCGCAGCGGCTTCGGCTTTTAACGGAGATGCCAATAATAATATTGCAGCCTATTGGGGACAAAATGCCGGTGGTTCCCAACAGTCATTAGGAGAATATTGTAATTCCACATCTGCTGATATTATCATAATGTCATTTATGAATGGATTCCCTAACTTAGAATTAAATTTTGCCAATCAATGTAGTCTGACATTTAGTGATGGTCTTTTACATTGCTCAAACATTGGACAAGATATTAAGTCGTGTCAAGAAGAAGGCAAACTTGTGTTGTTATCATTAGGTGGTGCTACAGGAACATATGGTTTCACATCTGACTCTGACGCAGAACTGTTCGCAACTACCATGTGGAACAAATTTGGAGGTGGTCAAGATGATGAGAGACCATTCGATGATGCTATTGTTGATGGGTTTGATTTTGATATTGAGAATCAGGATCAAACAGGTTATGTTGCCCTTGCGAATCAATTACGTCAATACTTTAATGGTGATTCCTCCAAGAAATACTATTTATCTGCAGCTCCACAATGTCCATACCCCGACCAATCTGTTGGTGACCTTTTACTGCAAGCAGAAATTGACTTTTGCTTTATTCAATTCTACAACAATTATTGCTCTGTAAATGGCCAATTTAATTGGCAAACTTGGAGTACTTATGCCAGCTCAACTTCACCAAATAAGGATATCAAATTATACTTAGGTTTGCCTGGTTCTGCTACGTCTGCTGGTTCTGGATATGTTGGTTTGTCAGAAGTTCAAAGTGCCTTAGGTAGTATTGGTGACGACTCTTCATTTGGTGGTATTTCTGTTTGGGATATTTCTTCCGCAGAACAAGATGGATTCCTTGATGGACTTAGAAACCTTTTGGGTTCACCTGAAAATTCCAATACTCCAACTTCTAGCTCGGATGAAGAAGACAAGGCTGTAAGTACCTCAGCTCAAACTGTTTCCCCTACTTCATCTGCCAATCCAAATCCTCCGATGAAAACGGTATATACTACATCTTATACAACTATCCAAGTTGCTGCACGTGCAACTGGATTGGAAAAGAGAGCTGAAGCCAATGTTTTACAAGGAGAATCATCCAAAACTAACGCCGGTGTAGTCTTACAATTATTAAGCTTGGTTGCTTTCTCACTTATTTAGAATTGTCTGATTCTAACTTTGATTGACTTTGTTTGCTTTATAAAAGATAATAAAATAAAAACTTGTATATTTGTATATTATATGTATTTGTATTGTATATATTTCAATTTCCCATAGAATTGTTCTAATACTACTTTCCCTGCGAGAACAATATATGAAACTGTATTGCCCAAATTAGTAAGCCAATACCAACCAGACGTTCCTTATCATCCAGGATCCGCATGGGCTGGGAGCGGCAAAGCTGATCCAACAACTGGTGATTTACATCAATGCAATGTCTGGCATGGATCACAAGAGAAATATCAAAATTGGTATAAATTGCGAAGAAGATTTGTTTCGGAGTTCGGAATGGAACCATCACCTAGTAGTAAAACGTATGAACAATGTATATCTGATCCAACTGAATTATATCCTCAAAGTGAAACGGTTGATCATGATAATAAAGCCGATGGATTTGAACGTAGACTTGCCCTCTACGTGATTGAAAATATCAAGGTCCAGGGATTAGATTTTGATTCTTGGATTTATGCCACTCAATTAATGCAAGCTGAATGTCTTGGATACGCCTATAGATGTTGGAGAAGAGAATGGAGAGGGGAAGGGAAGAGATATAATGGGGGGACTTATGTTTGGCAAATCAATGATTGTTGACCAGTTGCATCTCGGTCTATGGTAGATTTTTATAAACGTCCTAAACTTGCATATTATTTATTTAAGAGAGAAAGTCAGCCTATTGGAGTTGGAATGGATAGAACTGAAATAAGAGATGGTGTGGTGGTTTAAGATGAAGCATTTGAGGTAGCATTTGATTATCATCCAACAACACTTTCTATTGATCTTCGGTCTTGGTGTTGAAGTTCATGATAGCCATATAACTCTTGCCTCTGCTAAGCCGGTAAAGGGTGCTGAAATAATTGTCGACGGAAAGGATCTTTTCTCACAAGATAATGGATTTGATTTATTTCCCGGCGATAGATATATGGTTGTTGCAGAAGATATTGGGGAATCAGATAAAGTTACAATTAGGTATTATCATTAGAACGTATAATTAGACTCACTAGATATGATATTCTACAATAAAAGTATCAAACCGTCACAAATTCTTACGAGTCAATCTCTATCTCTTTGTAAATATCCCAAAGTTGAATAACCACGCTCAGAATTGTTTCAAATGAAGGTTAATAACCAGATCTATGTATTGTTATGGAGATTTATTCAGGTAGAAAAAAAAGTAGAATAGTTCTAACAGGAAGAAGCTGGGAATGCATTTTTGCTCCATAACTTAAGAGAATTTCCGTCTCAAACCAGAAGTAGAGGCTTAAGAGAGCATCCTTATTCACATGAAAGTGCGATCATGCTTCCCCCCAGTTCACCCGTGGGATGGGTCTTGCTTCTCTCGGTAGTAGATCCCAGTCAACGAAAATATGCTACGGTACATAAACCCGTGATGACGTCTACAGTCGTGCATTGGAAACGTTTGAATCATATCCTTGAATTGTCTCGATATGGTTTTTCTTCTTTTTAACAGAACGATGCATCATTTTACTTAGGTGAATGACGATAAAAACGCAAAAAAATAAATAAGGTGTTTTGCAATTTAGATAAAACAATTTACGAATATTTTTTTGCAGCCAGATCCCAACTATTGGATCTTATTCATTTCCTTCTATAGATTTGATTGTAATTATACTAATTTCGACAATAGTTACTAAGGTGAACTGTTTCGCATTAAAGTTCATCTATATTCAGAGCACCCCTTTGTATCCTCAGCACCTTGAGTAATGATAGCGAAGCTTTGGCTGGACGAACGCTGGATTGTGAACCACTCAATATTCTTGGCAGTAAAATATTATTAATTATATAACATAATTCTCCGTATTCTACATCATTCTACCAGCCATGGGTAATTTATTTACTGTGGGAATTAAGGCGAACTCCACAAGAACGCAGGATCTACCGGAAGGGAGGTCTTGTTAGATGATCTTCATCATCTTGTCTTTTCTTTTTCTCGTAATATTTTTTTTTCTTTTTCTCATACATTTCTCATCATTATTTTCTTCACTTGGTTGTCTATGATACACCATATTTGCTTTACCATTTAATGTCGTTTTCTTTAGTCGTACGTCGGAAACATAATTTCCGGGTAGATCGGTGGTCCCGTTGTTTCCTTTATTGTGATGTGTTGCATCTAAGGTTCTGTCAATACCATTACATGGCACGGGAAAACGCTGACAAACTTTATCGTACAGCGAACAGCATCACGTTTGTTTATCTTTTGTCATAACATCTCGCCATATTTTATTTTGCAACCAATATTATGAGACCAACAGAATGTATTTCCTACAACTCATCGATAATACCTTTCATCACGCAGAAGGAAATGATATTTAAGTTGTAATAATCCTCTTTAATTGATAAATCAAGATATGTTTCTCTTCACCAGTAACAACTAATCAACTTTCCTTAAAAAAATGCTTACACAAATAATTGCAACCAGTCTCATAGCCGCAGCGGCTTCGGCTTTTAACGGAGATGCCAATAATAATATTGCAGCCTATTGGGGACAAAATGCCGGTGGTTCCCAACAGTCATTAGGAGAATATTGTAATTCCACATCTGCTGATATTATCATAATGTCATTTATGAATGGATTCCCTAACTTAGAATTAAATTTTGCCAATCAATGTAGTCTGACATTTAGTGATGGTCTTTTACATTGCTCAAACATTGGACAAGATATTAAGTCGTGTCAAGAACAAGGTAAAGTAGTCTTATTATCATTAGGAGGTGCCGAAGGGCAATATGGATTTTCGTCCGATTCTCAAGCAGAACAATTTGCAACCACCATGTGGAATAAATTTGGAGGTGGACAAGACAACGAAAGACCATTTGATGACGCCGTAGTTGACGGTTTCGATTTCGATATCGAGAATAAGGATCAAACCGGATACGTCGCTCTAGCCAAAAAATTACGTGGATACTTCAAAGAAGACAGTTCTAAGAAGTATTACTTAGCAGCAGCTCCACAATGTCCATACCCCGATGAATCTGTTGGTGACCTTTTACTGCAAGCAGAAATTGATTTTTGCTTTATTCAATTCTACAACAATTATTGTTCTTTAAATGGCCAATTTAATTGGCAAACTTGGCGTACTTATGCCAAATCAACTTCACCAAATAAGGATATCAAATTATACTTAGGTTTACCTGGTTCTCCTGCCTCTGCTGGTTCTGGCTATGTTGGTTTATCAGAAGTTGAAAATGCCTTAGGTAGTATTCATGAAGACCCTGCATTTGGTGGTATTTCCGTTTGGGATGTTTCTTCCGCACAACAGGACGGGTTCCTTGATGGACTTAGAAACCTTTTGGGTTCAGTACCTGAAAATTCCAATACTCCAACTTCTAACTCGGATGCAGAAGACGAGGTTGTTGTGAGGACCGCAGAACAAACCCTTACCCCTACTGCACTTGCCGATCCAGAAAAAGATGCCAATCCAGATCCTGTTGTGAAAGTAGTCTATACTACAGTTACAACAACTATCCACGTTGCACGTGCAACTGGATTGGAAAAGAGGGATGAAGCAATTGTTTTACAAGGAGAATCATCCAACACTAAAGCCGGTGTAGTCTTATTACTCCTAAGCTTGCTTGCTTTTGCTCTTCTTTAGAATTAACTGATTCTAAATGTGATTGACTTTGTTTGCTTTATAAGAGAACGAAATAAAATAAATTTGTCTGTTATGTGTATACGTATTATGTATTTGAATGAATGAACGAATGAATGAATGAGAATTTTCCCATAGTATATTTGTAGTAGAGTATACGTAAAAGATTATACAATCCTCTCGTCAGTCCAGTATTATGCTATGTAATATATACATCTATCTATATTCTAAAGTCCATGTACTCAAACCAGGTTAACATTACTGTCCAGATAGAGGAACGAGTCAAATGAGTCATCAGCAATTTTTTCTCACATAAAAAATGCATAATGACTCAAAGAAATCTAAGAAAGAATTTTTGAAATTTTTCATTTCAATTTAATTTGACAACCAACTAAAGATATCCCATTATCAATAGACAGAGAATGAATGCACAAAGGCTGTATACTATAGTCATCAAACTTGGAACCTCATCTCTTGTGGATGAAGTTTCTCTTGAACCAAGATTAGCCAATATGTCCCTCATAGTCGAAACAATTGTCAAATTACGTCGACAAGGTCATAGAATTATCCTAGTTTCATCAGGAGCAATTGCCTGTGGTATGAAGAGAGTCGGAATGAACTTGAAACCAAGTAAGCTTGCAGCAGTACAAGCATTAGCATCAATTGGTCAGGGGAGACTTATTGGACTATTTGATGATTTATTTAGACAATTAGAGCAAACCATTGCTCAGATTTTAATCACTAGAAATGATATAATGGATTTTACTCAATATAAAAATGCAAGAAATACATTGAATGAATTGTTGGAAATGGGGGTTATTCCAATTGTTAATGAAAATGATACTTTATCAGTCTCAGAAATTAAGTTTGGTGATAATGATACATTATCAGCAATCACTGCTGGTATGGTACATGCTGATTATCTTTTCCTTATGACAGATGTTGAATGTTTATATACCGACAATCCTCGTTCTAACCCAGAAGCTCAACCAATTTTAATAGTGGAAAGAATAGATGAATTAGAAGTTAAAACTGATACTGAGACCGGAACCGGCGCCGGAACAAGAGTAGGTACCGGAGGGATGACTACAAAATTAATTGCTGCAGAATTGGCAACGAATGCAGGTGTTACTACAATTATCACATTATCTAGTCAACCTCATTATATTTTAAATATTGTAGCTCATATACAATCGCAAGATGGACTGACATTATCAATTGAAGAACAACGTCAAATTTTTGCCAATGATGTTGCACAAGGAAAGATTCCATTACATACAAGATTTTTAAGATTGCCAATAGATACTCAAATTAAATCAGATAGAAGATTCTGGTTATTACATGGGTTGAAGACTAAAGGTGCACTTATAATTGACCTGGGATGTTTCCAAGCATTAACTAGGAAAAATAGAGCTGGTCTATTACCTGCAGGTATTCTTGAAGTCGTTGGAACTTTCCATGAAAGTGAATGTGTTTCAATTAAAGTTATTCCAGATAGAAAGTTTCCAATTTCAGAGGCGATAGAAGTTGGACATTGTAGAGTCAATTATCTGTCTGCTGAAATACGTTTGATTAAAGGACATAAGAGTCACCAAATTGAATCCATATTGGGATATGCCGATAGTGAGTATGTCGCTCATAGAGATAATTTGGCATTTCCTCCTGTAATGCCACCTTCGACAGATTCATTGGTTTCCACTCCTATATCTTACTAGACGGTATCAATTTGATGGAATTGGGCTAATTTTGAAATCACTTGGTAGCCGCAACCAAGAGAGTTACGTTAGATCTTTAAAGTTAGGCACTTTTTAAAACAGACGATCTTCTAATAATATTGACAGCAATGAGAAGTTGAGTAGGATATGGATGCTGTTAGTTCTATGTAGATGGGGAATAAATATTTATATGCGGATGCTTTATTTAGTTATATATTTTTTGAATTTTCCTGTATATAGGACACAACATACGTTTGTAAATTTCCACAATCAATCTCTTGAAGACAACACCGCATTGTCATTTGTAGTGAAACAAATGGAAGAGGGAGAAGAAGAAGATAATAGGCGATCAATGGACTATCAGATAAGTCCATTACTCACTGACATCCCATTAGAAGAAAATGAACAAATTACAGCAATATCAAGTTATAATCAAATCAATGTTTATATAGGAACTAATCAAGGTAGAATACTCCATTATCATCATTTTGAAGATGTTAAAGAATATATACTCATATCACAACTAGAGATTAGCAATGACCTTCCAAAGCATCCGATTGATAAGATAATATGTCTTCCTAATTCCCAACGAATGTTAATACTATCCAATCGAATAACCACATTTCATTCATTACCTGAATTATCACCAAGTCATGAACGAAAAATGAAGAATATAAATCACATTGAAATCATAGATATTACTACTAAAGAATCAGATTCTGTATTAGTACTAAGCCCTTCCAAGATCAGGATTGTACAATTTCAAGAGAATCAAATAAAAGTTGCACGAGAAGTAAATTATTCAGGAGCAATAACAGGAACATCATATAAGACATCAAATGGTGGCATAATAGTATCAGTTGCCAATCAAGACAATTATGATATCCTAGACATAGATAACAGTCGTAAAATTCCATTATTCGGCTATAAAAATGATTCTGAAGTTGTTGTCAACCCCTGTATTCGAGCCTTTTATGCTCAAGACAGTCGACAGGAAGAATTCCTATTGACTATTCTGTCAGATTCACAGACTTCAATTGCCATGTTTATTAATACTTCTGGAGATGTCACTAGGGGAACATTGACATGGGTGGGTGATGGATATCCCAATGGTGGAGTGGAGATTGATTGGCCGTATTCCTTTGGAGTTTTTAATAATGAGAAATCCAAGTTGATTGTTTCGTCGTTGAACACTTTAGAAACTGATATTATAATGACATTGGAAGGATTCAGCAAATCAGTTCAAATACAGAGTAGGGATCCAATATCGGATGATAAAGAGGAGACTGGACAATTTAAGATAGATCATATATCTCAGGTCTCGTTCCAAGACTCATCACTTGACCCAATACTATCGTGGAAAGATATAATATCAGGAGATGTACAACCCCCGCAATGTTTAGAAACCTCGAGCATAATACTATCTAATGGGAGGCAAGTGTGGAGTATTCATCAACGAAATCATATATTAAAAATTCAGAAAGAATTCGAAAAGTCAGTTGACGAGAACCAGCATGAGGCATTTTCTACGAATAATTCGCTAGCTAATTACCAAGGAATCATGAAACATTATATGTGCCACTTATTACTACTAGCATCCTTAGCATGTAAAGATCAAGAGAAAACATTGGAATACCTTACACTCGAGGAAGGCGAAGCACTCATAATATCTCCAGAGTTAACTTTATTTCTCATTGGTGGGAAAGAATACAAATATAAAGGCATCTATTTAGGTATTGAAAAATTTGTTGAGGAATGGAAGGTTGAAAGGGATACCAGTCTTTTAAAATTATACATTCAAACTATCCAACCCCGGTATCTCACTTCCGAATTACGAAATGAATATTATTCTAGTTGTGATCAGGAGGAAGAAGTTTTAGATTTCTTCACGGGGGATGTGAATTCTTGGAATATCTATGATGACGCTAATAAACTGTTGATTCAAATTATAGCCGAGAAAGGGTTTCAACATGCAGTCTGTGAAGTTTATAATATCTTAATTGGGAAGGAGCTTCCAGATAAGAATGACATAGTTCATGATTATTCTGTGTATTTGTGTGAAAATTTAGCAACTGGAAATAAAACCTTGGACAGGGCAATTTCATTACTTAGCAGCGGGTGGTTGAGTGACAAAGACTACGGTAAACTCCTCGTGGGAGTGCTAAAGTTGGATAAAGATAGAGGATTTGCATTCATCCGATCCAATAAGAAATATCTAGATATTAATCGAGCTGTTATGAAAGATTTATCAAAAGATGAGAAGGGTCAAGAACAATTCGCAATTTTGCAGCTTGAATTATTGGAGGCATCCTATCTTCGAGATGAAGGAAACACAGCACTTCTTCGAGAATTGATAGAATTGACCATGAGTACATTGATGTCATCAGAAGTTTATACCAAGGAGGTTCAGGAAGCTTTTAGTACGTTACAAGATCAATTTAGACAAATAAATTCGTTGGAGAATGATAGATGGCCAAAGATAACCTGGCCAGATTTTGTTTGGATAAGTGGACAATATAAGCAACATAAGGTATTTTTGGAGATGTATTTGAAATCCATTGAATTGTGTTTGACTAAAATAAACGTGTTAGATGGAATTGTCATTCCCGAGCATGACATTTTTAATTATCATAGATATATTATGAATAATGATATTATAGAGTTTTTTAATTTTTGTGATTATTCCAATACTGAATCAGTTGCTATTACCGGCAAGATATCTATACCGAAAAAGACCTTCTATTCCAAGGACTTACAGCCATTTGAAGATGATTTGGATTTATCAGAAATACGATCTAATCTAATCCAAATATTTAAACTTTATTTGAATGTGTTTGATTCAGGCCAATCAGTTGAACCTTGTATAAAACATTTTGTAGAAAGTTATAGCGGGAAATATTTAATGCCCACAGAAGTTTTAGACTTGGTCCCCGATAATTTCCCCTTATCATATCTCATAAAATTCTTAGGGCAAGCAATTGTTGAATTACAACTGAAATCAAGAGAACAAATTTTCCAAAAGGCGATTACCAGAAATGAAGGAACAAGACTTAAAAAATTATACAAGGAATTCTTATCTACTTCTATATAGATCTATGTACATTCTAAACTTTCTTAGAGATATCCAAGTAACAACAACACGTAATCAAAAACAATTCCATACCAGAAGATAAACCCAGTACGGATATTTGAAGTAAATGCACCCCAACAACTCTTTGGATCATCTAAATCAACTTTTAAGATTTGATTATATAATCTAGCCAATGCATAAGCACCAGCAATATAGAAACCTGGTCCCATAGAATTCATAACCCCGACCATGGCATAGGTTGCAGCTTGTGCTGCTGTTAACCCTTTCATGATTGGTTTTGTTTTATCACCCCAAGCTAATGCAGTAGATTTGATTCCGGCTTTAATATCGAATTTTTTATCTTGATGAGCATAGATGGTATCATAAGTTAAACACCAGATCCAATTTGAAATAAATAATGGAGCAGCAACCCATAAATTGAGTGGGGCCCCAACAGCTGGGAAACCTAAGAGACAACCCCAACTGAAACAAGTTGAAAGAACGGCTTGTGGATAATAAGTAAATCTTTTAAATAATGGATATGCAGCAACAAAAGGTAATGAGAAAGCACCTAAATAAAAACATTCAAAAGGTAAGCTTAAAAGTACCCCTAATCCAGCAAAACACTGTACACCCAAAAACCCAACAGCTTGAGGTACTGAGACTCTACCACTTGTAATTGGTCTTTCCATGGTTCTTGCAACTTGATTATCTAAATTTCTATCCAAAATATCATTAATAGTACATCCAGCTCCTCTCATGATGACAGCACCAAGAGAGAATAAGGCAATAGCACCTACTGTAGTTGAAAGTGGTGCATTAATGGAATATGCAGCCAAAGTGATTGACCAATAACATGGAAGCAATAATAACCAAGTCCCTACTGGTTTTTCAAGTCTCATGAGTTCTAAGTAAGGAATCCATTTCTCGGGTAATTTTGAGATATAAGGACCCAATGCTGCCAATCTTGCTACTCTTGCAGCCTCGAGATCTTCAGGGGAAAATTTAGATCTAGCGATTTCGAGTTGTGTTAATGGTTTAGTTGGGGTTGTTGAGGGTGGGTTGTTTATTTGGACATTTCTAAGGAAGGTTGATTGTGTGAAGGTTCTCCTCGCCAAGGATCTCAATCCCACATTGGCTATTTGACGATTCAATAATGGTCTCCAAAGAGCGATTGTATTAAGCATCATTTGGGTGTGGGGGACGTAATAGGAATCTATAGATACTTTTCAATCTATTAGGAGTTTGTTGATGTATCGAAATGCAGCCGAAAAAAATTGGATCTGGCGATTGATTGGTTGAGACAATAAGATGAACCATTGGGGCGTTGGACTACAACACTATGTATGACTAAGACATTTGTAAGTCAACATCATCAGTTCCAGCAAAGGATTGGAATTCTTGATCATTATTATTTTGAATTCTTTGTCTAATCACATGATGTCCATCAATCAATGTTTTTAAATTAATGAAATCTTCAGTATTAACTTGTTGTTGATGAGTTTCTTGAAATGTAAAGATTTGTCTACACATTGGACAAAGACCCTTTGAATTCTCTTGTTCAAGCCATTTCAAGATACAATGTAAATGGAAATTATGTGTACATCCTGATCCAAGTACTATTGGACAATCATCACCGGGATATTTACAATTAGGACAGGTTCCATCAAATGAAACACGACAAATTCCACACAATTCTTCAACATAATCATTGGAATTGTTGTTGTTATTATTAGCTGCGGATGATACCAATTCCCAATGCCATGTAGAGAAAGCTTTCCATTCAACAATATTCACTTTCATTTTTGTTTGTGGTTGTTGTCGCTTTTGGTGTATTGATCTGATTGTAATTAAATTGGCGGGTAGAAAAAATGATTTTCTCATGGAATCAACGAGCTACCAAGACTGACAGAGTAGAGGACTTAGGGACTTAGAGAGGCAGAGGAAGTTCACATATTCTCTAACAAACACATATATATATATTATTATAAACACATTATGTAGAACTAAACTATAGAAGAAGGGTACTTTGTTATCTAAGTCTTTTTGTAAACTAATCCTTTAAAAATATCAAATGAATTTCCGTCTGGTTGCAAATGTAAAACTTCTTTAGTATTTACATCATTGGCAATTAAAAGTCCATAATCAGGGGTTATACCTTTGATAACACATTTCCTTAATTTCCCATCTCTATCAACTGTTACAGATTGATTTGAATGGAACCAACGTTTATAATAAAGCGGTAAGAATGGTTTTAATCCTGATTGTCTAAATTCATTATAAAATTGATTCAAATTAAACATAATTTTGGCTAATAATAATTCAATTTCATATGTTGGTAATTTAGGTAATCCTTTGGCTAGTCTAATAACATTCAACTTTTCTAAAACTAAATTTAATGACGTGGTTGGTGCAGCATTAGAAACATTTACACCAGCACCCCAAACTAAATGGAATTGACCATTAAGGAATTGAGAATTAATCAATGCACCTGAAACTTTTGCATATTTTTCTTCATCTCCATCAACAGTTGAACTGACATCATCTTTATCATTCAATGAATTGAAATATTCTGGTTTAAGAATATAAATATCATTTGGCCATTTTAATCTGACTGGCATATCTTCATATCCAATTCCTTTTCCAGATTCCGAACTTCCATAACCTAAAATAGATTCAATCAACGCCAATCCACATAAATATTGCATTGTCACAACTGTCGAAGATGCATTTGGTGAGTTAGGTACTTTGAATAGAATAGAGGTCGCGAGAACCCCCTTTGGATTGACCCAAACATTGCCCCCTCTACCCCTACCTGCAATTTGAGTACTGGCGGTGATGGCAAATCCTTCCGGCAAATATTGTAACCATCCAGGATTCTTGTCCATAATCGTATTTGTGGACGTGGTAACTTCAACATATCCTAGTATACTGCCAAATGTTCCAATCTTGTCACCAGAGAGTCGTTTTAAGGAATCAAAATATCGGTTGATATTGAAATATGGGGTTGTTTTTGAGTTTGGGAGTTCACCTGATGTTAACAACTTAACATGCTTGACTGCCTTTGTTGGATCGTATTCATCCTGGGGTTCTTCTAGTTTCTCGGGATGGTCGATCAGGTATTCTTGATGAGATTCATCTTGGAATACAAAAATATCATTTTGATCATGATAGAAATGTTCATGTTTAAGGTCTAGATTCTTGTCTAAAGTGGAATAAAGCTCACTTACTTTATCGGGATTAAATGGGGAAGTGACGTATAAAGGAGTTACATTGGGTATAGAAATATCAACATCTTTTTCCACTCTTAACCCAATCTTCTCTAAACAATCTTTAAGGAATAATCTTCTGTTATGATCATATTCTTGTAATGTATCAATAATGGTTTGGAAATGTGCATCTTCTGGTTTTAATAAATGTGAAGTGAATTCAGGATGAGTCCCAGTCAATAAGACATCACCTTTTCCAACTTTACAATGCACAACTGCTGCTTGTTCGACATCATCTACATCGGTCTTGTCTTCATATCTGGCCAAAACTTCAACATTCTTATATTGGGAGGCATTAACAAAAACCCCACCTCCATTATAATAATTAATAACATGTGGAGGAGAATGAGGCATGATTGCACTATTAACAACAAGCTTGGCAGCCCTAGCCCCTCGGTGAGACTCATATTCAAACCCTTTATAAGCACACCCCCGTTTAATCCCGGGGAAGAATCCCAATTCTCTTGGTCCACTAACTTCCATTGCTGGATTTCCAATTTCAAATTCACATCTTGCACTGGCGAAATATGCACCAGCACAAAATCCAATATATTTCCCACCTTGTTTGACAAATTTATTAATGATTTCAGTACCTTTCCCATTGAATATTTCACAATATGGTAAATCTGCTCCTCCTGGCATTACCAATAACGAGGTCTTTCTCATCCATGGTTCATTAAGGATAATCTTTTCATTGACTGGAAGTACGGCATAATAGGAAGATAAATGGATACGTAAAGCTTCTAAACAATGCTTTACTCCTTCGGTTGTAGTCCCTGGACCGGTGTACACAAGAACGTTCATTACTGTGATATCAAGAAGAGAAACAATAAGAACAAAAGGAAGAAGAACAAGCGATGTGTAAAAGAAAACAAACTTAAATAATTTATGAAAAAAATGGAACTCCAGTATCCGAGAATGTCAGCAAAAAGAAATTATGATTGGGAATCATCTTGTTGCGCCAAACTGGAAAACTTTTTCAAATTGAGACATCTTGAATCATCTACTTTAGAACTTGAGTCATACACATTAGCCATCATACATCTAGCTTCACTTCTTCGATATACATTTTGGTAAATAACACTCAACTCAAATGGCATTGATACAAGAACAACAAGAAAAAGTAACCTTAGATCCCAAACCAGGGTTTGTAGTCAAGACCAAAATCCTTGAATCTAAGGATCTTTCCCAAATCTCGACCAAAGTGTTTATAAACATATGTCATGATCATCAAGTTCCTAAGCCATCAATAGACTTCACTCCAGAAGTTGTATTTCCATTAATTATCGACAATCAATGGGAGATTCCCTTGATTGTGTCCCAAGAAAAGAAAACTACTGATAAGAAAGGGTTTCCTTCACTTGTTTATGATTGTTGTATAAATACTGACTGTTTCAATTGGTGTCAGATAAGTAAAGCTTTACGACTCATTTTGATTGAATGGTGTATTGAATCAGTTGAATTGTTATATCAGGTAGTTTTGGAAAGAGAATATTCGATTCCAAAAATGCTTAATAAAGGTGAACTTTCACATACTATTGTTGGGAAAGATGAATTGGAAACTTCGGGGTTCCAAAAGAAACTTCAAGAATTGAAGGAAAATGAACAATTGGGATTGATTCAAGAGATGTCACTTGATGATAGCAAGGAGGATGAAGCTGATCAAGAGTTGCCAGATTTATTGAATATAAGTAGCCAGCCTTCAACCAAACGAAAATTGATTGAAGAAATTGAAGAACCTCAAATGAGTTCGCGTATTGAAGAAGTTAAATCGAAATCTTCCAAGATAGAGGAAGTCGATCAAGGAGAAGAAGAATTACTTAACTATGATGTAAGCTTCCGTAAGATTGAAGATCCGAAATATAAATTAGCAATTATTTTCAAATGTGATCAAATACCGAGTGGTGAATATCTTGAACTACAATTTTCTCAAGCTTCCTCCACTTTATTATTAACTAATAAATTAAAAGGGTACAAATTCAATAACAACGGTAATAATTTAGATCCCACTAAAAACATTCTAGAAATTCCATTATCACAAGAAATTAAACTTAAGCCTTTAAAGACATTCTTTGTTACTACAACCAATCAATTATTTATCTTTATGTGAAGAAACGCAGCGCATTAGAACCTTCCTAATTAGGATAGTAATTTCGCACATTTGACCCATCTACGAAAAAAGTAAATAAATTCAGCAGCCTCCACAATTTTTTCATTATCAACCGATTTTTTTTATTAATACGAATAGTTTTAACTCATTATGATAAAATTTAATAATATAAATAGATTCCAAATTTCCCCCAATTTGAGAGTTTTCTGCTAAAAAACAGAAACCGAACCCAACTCCAAAAAGCACTAAAATCTCTTGAATAGAATCTATTCAAGTTATGAATGAAACATGAACACTGAAGAAGCTTTACTAACCGGTGCAGTAGATTATGAAAACTATGACACCATTACCCAGGATATCGATAATAAAGAGGTGGAAATAACCACTAGTCTGGAATTAAAGACAATTACCAAATCTTCCATTCCTTTGGTATTCACATTTTTCATGCAATATTTCCTTTCGGTAACATCGATATATGCTGCTGGAAAATTAGGTGCTAAAGAACTTGCGGCATGTTCTTTGGCAGTATGTACGTTTAATATTACTGGATTGGCAACATTTCGAGGTATGGCGACTAGTTTGGATACATTTTGTTCTCAAGCTTTTGGATCTGGGAATAAGACGATGGTCGGAGTATATTTTCAAAGATGTAGTTTAATGATTTTGACAATTACGATTCCTTTGATTATAATTTGGTTTAATTCTGAGGCTATTTTGGTTAAATTAGTACCTGATCCTGAATTAGCCAAAATGGCAGCAACATTCTTGAAAATCCATACTATAGGTGCCCCTGGACTTATATTTTTTGAAACTGGGAAGAGATTCTTACAAGCCCAACATATTTTCGAAGCAGGTACATATGTCTTGGTTATTGTTGCTCCGGTAAATTTCATTTTGAATTGGATCTTAGTATGGCATCCAAGATTAGGTCTTGGCTATATTGGGTTACCTATTGCAATATCTATTACATATTGGTTAATTTCATTATTCATGTTAGGCTATGTTGTATTCATCAATGGAAAACAATGTTGGGGAGGATTGGATATTGCCAGTGCAACTAGAAATTGGAAACCAATGTTATCGTTGGCCATTCCGGGTGTCATTATGGTGATTGCTGAATTCTTGGCATTTGAAGTGTTGACTATATTAGCTGCAAGTTTTGGAACTGAATCTTTGGCAGCACAATCGATTGTATCTAATGTTGCAGCTTTATTCTTCCAAATGCCATTTGCAGTTGCTGTTGTGTTAAGTACTAGAATTGGACATTTTGTTGGGAATGAAAATATAAGAGGTGCAAAGATTAATACTAATTTGTTTTGTTTACTTGGTGGTTTACTTGGACTTTTTAATTTCTCAGTTATGTTCTTTGGTAGAACTGGATTAAGTAAATTATTTACTCAAGATCCTAAAGTATTAGAAAGTTCCAAAGCTCTTCTTACATTGGCTGCAATAAATCAAATTGGAGATGCATTTAATGTTATAGCTACAGGTGTATTAAGAGGTCAAGGAAGGCAGCAGATTGGGTCAATATTATATATGACTTCATATTATTTAATAGCATTGCCATTAGGGTATATATTTGCATTTCCAATGGGATTACATTTGAATGGATTATGGTTGGGATTAATGTCGGGAGTTGGATTTTTAGCCATTAGTTGTGGTATTGTAGCATATTGGGGTGATTGGGAAAAGATATTACGTGATTCTAAAGGAATACATGATGATTAATAGTTGAGTTATATAGAATAGTATACATATGTGAGTAATATATCTTAGATGAAACTTTTGCAATCTCCTTGTAGTTATCAGTAGGACAATGAGTCTCTATCGCGACTCATCCATCTCACATCAAAAAGAAAAAAAAAATTTGAAAAATTAAAATAAAAATCTTTAAAATCTCTTTCTCTTTTGATTTCCATAAAAGAAGTAATCGGCAAAGGATGGCACCAAGAAGAAGATTTGATAAGAAGAATGCTACTACATTCAATATAGTTCACAGAGCACATGATGATTCTCGTTTCTACGACGATGAAGCCTCGGAGCATGTTCTTGTTCGTACTAATGCTCCATCCAAATCAGGAACCACCACCAAGAAGATTTATACAACTACTGAGTTAGAACAAAAACTTAATAAAGACCAAGTCAGAGATAATGAAGGTATGGCTGCTCAATATGGTATCTTTTACGACGATTCTAAATATGATTATATGCAACATTTAAAACCAATAGGTACTTCTCAAGATGGGGTTTTCATTAGTGCAAAAACAAATGATAAACCTAAAGAAACAAAAATTGAAGATCTTTTTAAGGATCAGTTACCTTCTGAAAGTAAGAGAAAGATTGGAGCTGATTTAAATGAATCCGTACCTAAAGAACTCAAAGGGTTTAATCCAAATTTAGATCCTAGATTAAGAGAAGTTTTAGAAGCATTAGAAGATGAAGCATATATAACAGATGACGATGAAGGAGAAGAAGGAGGGGACGTTTTTAATGATTTGTTGAAATCTGGTGAAGTTGAAGATGAAGATGAATTTTACTATGGATCAGATGCTGAAGATTATCAGGATGATGATTATGATGAATGGGATTTGGATAATTATCAAGATGAATATGACCAAAAATATGAACAAGGAGTGCCTGAAGACGATGACTATAAGAATTATGAAGAGAATGATCACATACCTGACGCCAATGTGAATCTGGGTTGGCAGAAAGATTTCATGAAGTTCAAACGAGATACCAAGAATCAAACCAATGATTGGGATTCTGATGATGACTTTGAAGGGGAAGAAGAAGGACATGAAGAGGAAGAAGCAGATGAATTGCCTGAGTTGCCGCAAATAAATGGAGCTAGTAGTAAGAAGAAATCTAAAACTAAATTAAGAAAGAAGAAAGGTGCAATGACTGATACATCATCTTTTTCAATGTCATCTTCAGCATTATTTAGAACTGAAGGGTTAACTTTGTTAGATGATAGATATGAACAACTAAATAAGAAATTTGAAGAGGATGAAGAAGAACAAGAAGAATATAAACCATTTAATATGAAAGAAGAAAGAAATGATTTTGAAGATATGTTGGATGATTTCTTAGATAATTATGAACTAGAAAGTGGAGGTAGAAAGTTGGTTAAAAAGGATGAAGAAAGAAAGAAGTTACAGAATGCAGCTAAGTCAATGACAAGAGGTAAATTAGGTACCAAATCACTTAATGGGGCATTTGATAATTTAAAGATATAGACAGTAAAATAGATTACATTAATTATATAGGTAGTGTACTTTGGTTAAATCTGATTAAAAAATTTTCTCTCCTTGTTAACAATGTTAATTAAAAGAAGAATCTCAGCGGTTAAACCTTTTTTTAGTTCGCCACAAGACATAAAAAAAAACAAGGCAGTAGTCAATTGTTACATTCAATTATTAATTCATTCATTCATTCAATCAACTTTTGATACTTTTGGGGATCTAAAGATATCCAACTGATATACCACTTTAAGTAGGAACACTTTTTATATTCCCAACCAATCAATCAAACTGATTAACTTATATTATTAAAATCAGTTGATTGCTTTCATCCTCAAAGGAATAACAAAAGCCCTTTTCCTAAAACAATCAATCAATCAAACATAATTAATTAATTTAGCCGTTTTTTAAAGGTGACTACTTTTAGCATCTCCATCCTTCAGAAGAATATTTACAATATACAGCAAAGATACGGTTCTACGCTCGGGTTATATTTGCATTTATCTCCCTATCTACTATTATTGCATTGCTAGCATATAACTATTCATCATCAACCCAATTACCTAAATCAGACAACATGGCATCAATCTCAACCACAGTTCCTCGTCGTCATCACCAATCAGTTACTTCCATATCCAAAGTATATGCCGATGTATTAGCTACTAAACCACAATCATTTTGGGATTATGATGAATTATTAATTCAATGGAATTCACAAGAAAATTATGAAGTTATTAAGAAATTAGGTCGAGGGAAATATTCTGAAGTATTTTTAGGAATTGATTTAAGTAGTGGTGAAAAGGTTGTTATTAAAGTATTAAAACCAGTTAAACGAAAGAAAATCAAAAGAGAAATTTCAATATTAAGTAATTTAGTTAAAGGACCAAATGTTATTAAATTATTAGATGTTGTAAGAGAGCCACAACTGAAGACTCCAGCATTAATCTTTGAACATATTAATAATATAGATTTTAGAACTTTATATCCTACATTCACTGATTATGATATTAGATATTATATGTATGAATTATTAAAAGCTTTGGATTATAGTCATTCTATGGGAATAATGCATAGAGATGTTAAACCTCATAATGTTATGATTGATCATGAAAAGAGAGTTCTTAGGTTGATTGATTGGGGTTTGGCAGAATATTATCATCCAGGTACTGAATATAATGTAAGAGTTGCATCACGTTATTTCAAAGGACCAGAATTATTAGTTGATTTTAGATTATATGATTATTCTCTTGATCTTTGGTCATTTGGATGTATGTTAGCATCAATGGTTTTCATGAAGGAACCATTTTTCCATGGGAAATCAAATACCGATCAATTAATTCAAATTGTAAGAGTATTAGGTTCAAATAATTTGGATAAATATCTAGCCAAATATAACTTGGTACTTAGTCAAGAATATGAAGATATTGGTTATTATAATAGAAGACCATGGGAAAGATTTATTAATGAAAATAATCAACATTTAGTGACAAATGAATTCTTAGATTTCATTGATAAATTATTAAGATATGATCATCAAGAAAGATTGACAGCCAGAGAAGCAATGGATCATCCTTATTTCGATCCGGTTAGACCTCAATAGAAATACAACTTCTTCTTTTATTATTGTTTATTAATTTTTTGTTAATTATTATTATTATTATTTAATGGGTGTGTAAATATTTACCAAAGTAAATAGGTTGTGTAAATTTATTTACTTATTTTCTTATAAGCTGACTGGAGGAACTACTACTAGTCAGTTTAATATATATTTTTAATAAGATATGTTTTTTTAGTGTGTATGAATAGAATCGTAACTGGGTTTCAAAGTTGGTTTGGGGCTAGTTAGTGCATATTGGTGTCTTACAAGTTTGGTTGCAAAAATCTTGTTGGAGAGACTGTCAATATTTTTGAGATCTGTATACGATTATTTGCTTTTCTTATAAATCTGTTCTAATGGCTAGAGGTGCTTATAACAGGGTTACTTTAGATATTTATGCGATAAGCATGATATAATTATAGATAACTTAGTATCCTTTTGGCATATCAGATAGAGAATTGTGGGAAAATTTCAACAAAATTTGTATGAAAAATAAGAATCGTCCGAAATAGCTCATTTTCAAATCGCACATAAGAACGTCAATAACAGAACGAATTGGTTCCATATTATTTCTAAGAATTTCCAATCGGTTCTATTGAATTTATCATATCTGTGGACTTTTCTAGTAGAAGCCGTAAATTGCGAGAACTTCTAGAAGAATCGATAAGGAGGGTATTTTTTTTTTCGCTCAATTGATTCCTCCCGAGAAACGCGAATACAAATTGATTGAAATTTTTGCAACGGTTTAACCCCCTTCACTTTCCTTTAAGTTGACACTTTAAACCCAATCCATTCAGAACCCAAGAAACAAGAAAAAATGCCTGAACGTACTAAAGTATTCTTTGATATCACTGCCAATGGTCAACCAAAAGGTAGAATTGTCTTTGAATTATATGATGATATAGTTCCAAAAACTGCTGAAAATTTCAGAAGTTTATGTACTGGAGAAAAGGGAATCTCTCAACATTCTGGAAAATCATTACATTATAAAAACTCGATCTTTCATAGAGTAATTAAAGGGTTTATGTGTCAAGGTGGTGATTTCACTCATGGATCAGGTATTGGAGGTGAATCTATCTATGGTGAAAAGTTTGAAGATGAAAATTTCCAATTACATCATGATAAACCATTCTTATTATCTATGGCCAATGCAGGTCCAAATACAAATGGATCTCAATTCTTTATTACAACTGTTCCAACACCTCATTTGAACGGTAAGCATGTTGTATTTGGGGAAGTAATCCAAGGAAAATCAGTTGTTCGTCAATTGGAATCATCAAAAAAGGGTGAACAAGATAAACCTGTTGAAGATTGGGTTATTAGCGATTGTGGTGAATTACCTAAGGATTATGTTCCAGCAGCACAAGCTACCGTTGATGACGGAACTGGGGATATTTATGAAGAAGTTTTGGAAGATAATGAGACAATTGATGTTAAGAAACCTGAATCAGTTTTCAAAGCTGTTTCTACTTTGAAAGAAATTGGAACTAAATTGTTGAAAGCAGGTGATTTAGAAAAAGCTTATGCTAAATATACTAAAGGTTCAAGATTCCTCGAAGATTATTTCCCAGATGATTTATCTGAAGATGATTTAACTACTTTGTATGGATTAAAATTATCATTATATTTGAATGCAGCTTTAGTAGCATTGAAATTGAAGAATGGGAAGAACACTATTGCTGCTGCTGACGAAGCATTACAAATTGATAGTATTGACGAAAAGTCTAAAGTTAAAGCATTATATAGAAAAGGAATGGGATATTTGTTGGTTAAAGATGAAGATTCAGCTAAAACTTATCTTGAAGAAGCTTTGAAATTAGCTCCAACTGATCGTGCTATTCAAAATGGTTTACAAGAAGTTAAAACAATTGTTAAAGCTCGTAAAGAACAACAAAAGAAGGCAATGTCCAAATTCTTCTCTTAGAGAAACAATATACTGTACATATTATAAATAGCTACAAATACATAAGACTAAGTGTATGTATTGCCTTTATTAGTACTGTAAATTACTCTATGAATATTTGATCCATTATGATCCTGAGTGTAAATTTCATACTGGAGAAAAAATCTTCCATTTTTCAGTCATTCCATCAACAACAACCATTTTTTTTTACAACCAACAAAAACCACAAGCTGATTAATCATCATCATCATCATTTAATCATCACTTAACCAAACAAACCAATCCATCCATCTATCAGAGATAAATCACCCACTCCCTTTACTTCCAGATAACACATTTTACTTTTTCAGAGAAAGTCTCATTCGATTTAAGTAAAGTAATTAAGTTTAGAAAGAAAAAGGCAAACTTTTTACAACAAAGTTTTATCAACCAATTGCATTTTTACATTTATTTGATAAGAATCCATTTTCAAATCAATCTTCATTTCAGTATTTTAATTTGCACTCATTGATTTGATTGCATAATTAGTGTTTTTGTTTATCGTTTTAGTGGATTTCAATTTTTTAAGAAATATCCACCCAGTTGTATTATTTTGTATTTAGAAGAAAGAGAAAACCAATTTTTATTTAATTTATTTAACATATTAATCATAGAAAAATAAAAAAAAAATTAGATCACAATGAGTCGTCAATTTCCATATTCAAGTGCTCCACTTCGTTCAGTTAAAGAAGTTCAATTTGGGTTATTATCTCCAGAAGAAGTTCGTGCTATTTCGGTTGCGAAAATCGAATATCCAGAAACAATGGATCAAGCAACCAAGAAGCCAAGAGAAGGTGGATTAAATGATCCAAGATTAGGTTCTATTGATAGAAATTTTAGATGTCAAACATGTGGTGAAGATATGGCAGAATGTCCTGGACATTTTGGTCATATTGAATTAGCTAAACCAGTTTTTCATATTGGTTTCATTGCTAAAATCAAGAAGGCTTGTGAATGTATATGTATGCATTGTGGGAAATTATTATTAGATGAAACTAACCCAGCTATGGCTCAAGCTATTAAGATTAGAGATCCAAAGAAGAGATTTAATGCCGTGTGGAGTATATGTAAAACTAAAATGGTTTGTGAAACTGATCAAACTGAGGATGACATGCAAGTCGATTCAAGGAATCAACCATCTTCTACTTCTCATCGTGGTGGATGTGGTCACACTCAACCAACTATTCGTAGAGATGGGTTGAAATTATGGGGTACATGGAAACATAATAAGAGTTTTGATGAAAATGAACAACCAGAACGTCGTCTTTTAACTCCATCAGAAATCTTAAATGTATTTAAACATATTAGTTCAGAAGATTGCTATAGACTTGGGTTCAATGAAGATTATGCAAGACCAGAATGGATGTTGATTACTGTTTTGCCAGTTCCTCCTCCACCCGTTAGACCCTCCATTGCGTTTAATGATACAGCCAGAGGTGAAGATGATTTAACTTTCAAGTTAGCTGATATCTTAAAAGCGAACATCAATGTGCAAAGGCTTGAAACTGATGGTTCACCACAACATGTCATTAGTGAATTTGAAGCATTATTACAATTTCATGTTGCAACTTATATGGATAATGATATCGCAGGTCAACCTCAAGCACTTCAAAAGACTGGGCGTCCAATTAAATCTATTAGAGCAAGATTAAAAGGTAAGGAAGGAAGATTGAGAGGTAATTTGATGGGTAAGCGTGTGGATTTCTCAGCTCGTACAGTTATTTCTGGTGATCCTAACTTGGATTTAGATCAAGTTGGTGTACCGATATCTATTGCCAAAACTTTAACATATCCTGAAATTGTCACTCCGTACAATATTCATAGATTAACGGAATTAGTTAGAAATGGTCCAAATGAACATCCAGGTGCAAAATATGTGATTAGAGATACTGGTGATCGTATTGATTTAAGATATAATAAACGTGCGGGGGACATTGCTTTACAATATGGTTGGAAAGTTGAACGTCATTTGATGGACGATGATCCAGTTTTATTCAATCGTCAACCCTCGTTACATAAAATGTCGATGATGGCGCATAGAGTTAAAGTCATGCCTTATTCAACTTTTAGATTGAATTTATCAGTTACTTCTCCATATAATGCGGATTTCGATGGTGATGAAATGAATTTACATGTTCCACAATCTCCTGAAACAAGATCAGAATTATCACAAATTTGTGCTGTGCCATTACAGATTGTTTCTCCTCAATCTAATAAACCAGTTATGGGTATTGTGCAAGATACATTATGTGGTATTCGTAAAATGACATTGCGTGATAATTTTATAGAATATGATCAAGTTATGAATATGTGTTATTGGATTCCTAATTGGGATGGTGTTATTCCTCCACCTGCTATTGTTAAACCAAAACCATTGTGGAGTGGTAAACAATTATTATCTTTGGCAATTCCAAAGGGTATTCATTTGCAAAGATTTGATGGAGGAAGAGATTTATTAAGTGCCACAGACAATGGTATGTTAATTGTTGATGGGGAAATTATGTTTGGGGTTGTTGATAAAAAAACCGTTGGGGCAACTGGTGGTGGTCTAATTCATACTGTCATGAGAGAAAAAGGACCACAAGTATGTGCACAATTATTCAGTTCAATTCAAAAGGTTGTCAATTTCTGGCTTTTACATAATGGTTTCTCTATTGGTATTGGTGATACTATTGCTGATGCAAGTACCATGAAGACAGTTAGTTCAACAATTCAAGAAGCTAAAGATAAAGTCCAAGAAATTATTCTTGATGCACAAAATAATAAGTTGGAACCAGAACCAGGTATGACTTTAAGAGAATCATTTGAACATAATGTTTCTCGTGTATTGAATCAAGCGCGTGATACTGCAGGTCGTTCTGCAGAAATGAATTTGAAAGATTTGAATAATGTGAAACAGATGGTTACTTCAGGTTCCAAAGGTTCATTTATTAATATTTCTCAAATGTCTGCATGTGTAGGTCAACAAATTGTCGAAGGTAAGAGAATTCCATTTGGTTTCTCTGATCGTTCTTTACCACATTTCACTAAGGATGATTATTCTCCCGAATCAAAAGGTTTTGTTGAAAATTCTTATTTGAGAGGATTAACACCACAAGAGTTCTTTTTCCATGCTATGGCTGGTAGAGAAGGTCTTATTGATACTGCTGTTAAAACTGCCGAAACTGGTTATATTCAACGTCGTTTGGTTAAAGCATTGGAAGATATTATGGTTCATTATGATGGTACTACAAGAAATTCATTAGGTGATATTATTCAATTCATTTATGGTGAAGATGGTATTGATGGTACTCAAGTTGAAAAACAATCTATTGATACTATTCCAGGTAGTGATGAAAGTTTTGAACGTAGATATAGAATTGATGTTTTAGATCCAGCTAAGTCTATTCCAGACTCTTTATTAGAATCAGGTAAACAAATTAAAGGTGATGTTAAATTGCAAAAGGTATTAGATGAAGAATATTCGCAATTATTAGAAGATCGTAAATACTTAAGAACAGTTTGTTTCCCTAATGGTGATTTCAGTTGGCCATTACCAGTCAATTTACGTCGTATCATTCAAAATGCTCAACAAATTTTCCATAACGGCCGTTACAAGGCATCAGATTTACGTTTGGAAGAAATTATTTATGGTGTTCAACAATTAGCCAGCAAATTGTGGGTTATTCGTGGAGATACTCCATTGACAAAAGAAGCTCAAGCTAATGCTACATTATTATTCCAATGTTTATTAAGATCAAGATTATCTGCCAGACGTGTGATTGAAGAATTCAAATTAAATAGAGCATCATTTGAATGGGTATGTGGTGAAATTGAAGCTCAATTCCAAAAATCTGTTGTTCATCCTGGTGAAATGGTGGGTGTTGTAGCTGCTCAATCTATTGGTGAACCAGCTACTCAAATGACTTTAAATACTTTCCATTATGCCGGTGTTTCTTCCAAGAATGTGACTTTGGGTGTTCCTCGTCTTAAAGAAATTCTTAATGTTGCTAAGAACATCAAGACTCCAGCATTAACTGTTTATTTAGAACCTGAAATCGCAGCTGATATTGAAAGAGCCAAGGTTGTGCAATCATCTATTGAACATACGACTTTGAAGAATGTTACTTCATCTACAGAAATTTATTATGATCCAGATCCAAGAACTACTGTTATTGAAGAAGACTATGATACTGTTGAAGCATATTTCGCCATTCCAGATCAAAAGGTTGAAGAATCTATTGAAAAGCAATCTCCTTGGTTATTACGTTTAGAATTAGATCGTGCTAAGATGTTGGATAAACAATTAACTATGGCTCAAGTTGCAGAAAAGATTTCTCAAAACTTTGGAGAAGATTTATTTGTTATTTGGTCAGATGATACTGCTGATAAATTGATTATTCGTTGTCGTGTTGTTAGAGATCTAAAATCATTAGATGAAGATGCCAATGCGGAAGAAGATCAAATTTTGAAACGTATTGAAGCTCATATGCTTGAATCTATTTCTTTGAGAGGTATTAAAGGTATTACAAGAGTGTTTATGATGCAACATAAGGTTAGTGCACCTGATGAAACTGGTGAATATAAACAAGGTAAAGAATGGGTATTGGAAACTGATGGGGTTAATTTGGCTGATGTCATGGCTGTACCAGGGGTTGATTCGTCTAGAACTTATTCTAATGATTTTATTGAAATTCTTTCTGTATTGGGTATTGAAGCAACTAGATCGGCATTATATAAGGAAATTTTGAATGTTATTGCCTTTGATGGTTCTTATGTTAATTATAGACATATGGCTTTGTTAGTTGATGTTATGACTTCTCGTGGACATTTGATGGCTATTACTCGTCATGGTATTAATAGAACTGATACTGGTGCGTTAATGCGTTGTTCATTCGAAGAAACCGTTGAAATCTTGTTGGAAGCTGGTGCATCTGCAGAATTGGATGATTGTAGAGGTATTTCAGAAAATGTTATGTTGGGGCAAATGGCTCCATTAGGTACTGGTGCGTTTGATGTTATGGTTGATGATAAGATGTTGCAACATGCTCCATCTAATATTGCTATGCCAACTAGTGGTGAAGAATTTAATGAAGAAGGTGGTGCTACTCCATATAGAGAATATGAAATGGAAGATGATAAGATTCAATATGAAGAAGGTGCTGGATTCTCACCTATTCATACTGCTGCTGTTTCTGATGGTGGTGCTGGAGGTTTGACGTCTTATGGAGGACAACCAACTTCTCCATCTGCTACTTCTCCATTCAGTTATGGTGCTTCTTCACCTTCATATGGTGGAACATCCCCAGGGTATGGATATTCTCCAACTTCACCAAGTTATTCTCCAACTTCCCCATCTTATTCACCTACATCACCAAGTTATTCTCCAACATCTCCATCATACTCGCCAACATCACCATCATATTCACCTACTTCTCCAAGTTATTCTCCAACATCTCCAAGTTACTCCCCAACATCACCAAGCTATTCCCCAACATCACCAAGCTATTCGCCTACATCGCCAAGCTATTCACCAACTTCCCCAAGTTATTCACCAACATCACCATCTTATTCTCCAACATCACCAAGCTATTCACCTACTTCTCCAAGTTATTCACCTACTTCTCCAAGTTATTCACCAACATCACCATCCTATTCGCCAACATCACCTTCATATTCGCCAACATCCCCTCAATATTCGCCAACATCACCTTCGTATTCTCCTACATCGCCACAATATTCACCAACATCTCCAAGCTACTCACCAACATCTCCTCAATATTCCCCAACATCACCATCTTATTCACCTACATCTCCACAGTATTCACCAGGATCACCTGAATATTCTCCAAACTCACCAAAGAAGGAAAAGAAGGATGATGATAAAGAAAAAGAATAAATACGAATATAAATTTGTGTTGTGTTGTGTCAGTGTTGTTTATGTGTATCTAGTATTTTGTGTAAACGTTTATTTGAATTATTATATATAAGTTAATATAAAGTTGTAAATCTTTTAGAATGTTCTCTTTGTGAAGTTGGATCAAGACGGTAGATTTGTTCTTATTATAGTCTAGTCCTGTTTATTCCTCCGTATCTACTTCTCTAAACCCTCAAACTCCTCTGAGATTGTGTTGCAAAAAAAAAAATACAAAGATTGATAATGTGATGCTCATCCCCCCTTTTGTATAGAACCAGTAGCAATAGCAACAAGAAAGCATGGCAACAGGAAGTAATAAAGGGAATAAGAAAGCACCTAAAGCATCTTCACTTAAAGAGATAGAGAAGAAGAAGAAAATTATATTCAAACCAATTCTAGATAATCCTTATACTCAATCAAATCTATGGCCATTTATAGAACCTCTGATTGGATCAAATATTTTACAACTTCTTGAAGTGTTACTTTCTCCTATTGGGAAATATAATTCATTAGACAAAGACAATAAATCAAAGATTAATCCACCTGATATAATTAATGAAGTTAAGTATGGATTTAATTCAATTGTTGAACAATTAGAATTACAAGCAAAACATTTCCGTGGTATTTTAATCAATAAGAATATTGAACAGAAGAAGGTAATCAAATATTTATTTGTTTGTAAATATGATATAACACCTACTTTGTTAACCAGTATGTTTCCAGTATTAAGTTATACTTCTTCAAAAGATGGTCAAAATAGAGTTAAATTAATTCAATTGCCCAGGGGGAGTATGGAGAAATTATCCCTAGCATTGAATGTATCTAATACGGGAATTATTGGTATTACTGAATGTGAACTTCGTGAAGCTAAACCTTTATTTGATTTGATTAATATCAATGTTAAAGATGTTGAAGTACCCTGGTTACAAGGTTTGTTTGATCCTGAAGCTAATCCTCAATTTGCCGCACCAGCCTTAAGACATATTTCTATTAGTGCTCCAGTTGGACCTCAAAGAAAGACTCAGAAGCAGAAGCAGAAAATAGCGAAGGATTCTAAGCAACCCAAAGAGATGACATCTGATCAACAACTACAACAACAACAACAGCAGCAGCAACAACAACAATAGTAGTAGAAGTAGTTTCTAATAGAATGTTCAATATACGCACCAAAGAATAAAACGCGTCTATTCTGAAAAATGAAAAAAATAAAAAATTTGATTTCTTCTTTCTTCTTTCTTTTGTAAGGTAACCCATCATATCATCCCACATCATGTCAACAAAGGAAGTAGTAACATTAGAATTACCATGGGTAGAAAAGTATAGACCTCATATATTAGACGATATAGTCGGAAATTCAGAAACAATTGAAAGACTCAAGATTATTGCCCGAGATGGAAATATGCCCAATATGATCATATCAGGATTACCAGGTATTGGTAAAACCACATCCATTCATTGTTTAGCATATGAATTACTTGGACCTAAACATTATCAACAAGCTACTCTTGAATTAAATGCTTCGGATGATAGAGGGATTGATGTTGTACGTAATAAAATTAAACAATTTGCTCAAACTAAAATATCATTACCACCTGGACGTCAAAAGATTATTATTCTTGATGAAGCTGATTCAATGACTCCTGGTGCACAACAAGCTTTAAGAAGAACTATGGAAATATATTCTAATACTACTAGATTTGCATTTGCATGTAATCAATCGCTGAAAATTATTGAACCTTTACAATCAAGATGTGCAATTTTAAGATATAATAAATTAGCTGATCAAGAAGTATTGGCAAGATTATTAGAAATTGCCAAAATGGACGATGTTAAATATAATAGTGAAGGTTTACAAGCTTTGATTTTCACTGCAGAGGGGGATATGAGACAAGCAATTAATAATATGCAAAGTACAGTTGCTGGATTTGGATTTGTTAATGATATAAATGTTTTCAAAATTGTGGATCAACCTCATCCATTAGTCATTAGAAAGATTTTATCATATTGTATAAAGGATAAGAATATCGATAAAGCACTTGAATTATTAGATGGATTATGGTATAAGGGTTATTCAGCCATTGATATAGTGACACTGACTTTTAGAGTGGCTAAAACCATACCTGATGTTAATGAACAAATAAGATTAGACATGATTAAAGAAATTGGATTTGTACATATGAGAATCTTGGAAGGGGTATCTACATATTTGCAATTATGTGGAATGTATTCTAAAATTTGTGATATTAGTTAATTAATGTTTCTGTTTATATGCTTCAGTTAATAAATCAAAATGTTGAATTTGTTCTTCAATAAAATCATTTGATTCAATATTTTCATTCTTAAGGATATTAACAATTAGGAAATAATTGTTATATAAAAAGATCTCTTTCTCTGTTGTTGCTTTATTTCCAAACGCATGAGTACTACATTTTGTCAAACAATTTTCAAAATCATTTCGTAATCGAACAACTGATGTATACAATGGTTCTCCATGATAATCTTTATCTGGGGTAGTTAATCTTAACAATGACAGCAAAAATTGGGCAAATTGTTGTGTAACACTAATAGGAGCCAATCCTGAACTTTTATTAAATCTCAATATTGCTCGTTTCATCGAATCACAATTTATATCAATTACTTTCGTAAATTGAGGCCAAAGGATTAAAAGCAAGGAATTTAAATAATCATCAAGTATTGGAATATGAAATTCATTATGTAATTTATTTTGAGTATTTTGAATCAATCTAATAATCAACAAAATACCAAATGCATCACAAGTACCAAACATAGTAGGTTGGGCCCGAGTTGATCCTGATAACATCAGTGCATTAATATCACCACATACTAACCAAGTCAAGAATTCTCGACCCATTTCAAATACATCTTTAAACATAACTTCACCCCATTCTCCTTTCTTGGACACACCAGATGATTCATCTTCGGATTTAATTTCAATAGGATCAAATTTTTCATTTCCTTGATAGAAAAATTCAACCATAAAGAGATATTCCACCACCATATTATCAATCACAGCCATTGAAAATTGATTATAGACAAATTCTACCCAATATGTGAATGGTGAAGTTTCTGCAATTTGAGATGGAATGGCACAAGTTCTAGTTTTAGGTGATAATATTTCTAATCTCTTTTCAAAAGATAATAAGTATTCATTTATCGTTAATGTTGATGCCGTGGTGGCGGTAGTATTGGAACCGGTGGAAGGAATTGGAATACTTGAAGATTGCTGAAGACTTGAAGACGTAGATATCCAACCTTTCCAAGAAGATCCAAACATATAACTTGATTTCTCATCATTTGTACCTCCCAATACAATACTTGAATCAACCGGACGTAAATGTAATTTCTCAAGGGCATATAAATATTTTGCAAATTTACTCTTATAATACCAAGTCATTGTATAAATATATGCCAATCTTAATTGATCGGCTAACTCTTTATGCTGAACCACAAGAAATTGGAAAATATCTTTAACTTCTAGAAGTTTTTGTTGAATTAATTGGGAAGAAGAAGCTTTTGAATTTGTTGATCTCAATTGTCGTATTTTTTGAATAATAAAATCACGTATACGTTCAACAGCTTTACATTCAAGTAAATGAACCCCAGTTTCTAATTGGGTTAATGCAATTGAATCTCCATATAATTCAGATAAATCAATATCAATGTTTTTGGTTTTAATATTTTCAATTAATTGTTTCTTTTCTGATATTAATTTCAAATTATCAATAAATTGAGAATCAATATCTCCACTAACAATACTCTTCACTAATTCAGGTGGAATCATTAGATCTAATATAACTGGATTTAACTTTTCGGTGACAGCAGCTTGTAATTTAGAATCTTTAGATAATTTAATTGATTGTTGTTGTAATGATACTAAACTTGAAGATAATAATCCCAATTCTTGATTAAATTCTTGTAGAATAATTCCAACTGGTTTTAATTTGGTGGTAAATTGTTGAATATGTTGTTGATATATTTCAAATTTGGAAGTGAATTCAATTAATTTGTCTACGCTTGTTGTCGTTGGATCATTTTCATTGTGTTGTTGTTGTTGTTCTGCGATTATTCGTAAATGTTCAAGTGATTGAATATTGGTGTTGTCATTTAAACTTTTGATAAGATTATTTGGTGGAAGCAGCTCTTGTTGATCATTGGAACTAGCAGCAGTTTCATTCAACGGGAGTATTCGTTGAAGTGATTGGAATGCAGACATGTTGGCTTCAATCTCTGTTCAATTATTGTGAATACCAGCAGCTGGAGTAGACGGTAGTATCAATAGTAGTGGCAGCAGAAAGTGGTTAAATCAGTTTGGTTGTAAATTTAATTTTCATATGAGTGTGAGGCTCATGGAGAATTTCCTTTTTCAGATTCCCCAATAAATCAACAAAGAATTTTTTATAACTAACAGTTTATCCCTTTGTTGATTCTACTGTTTCTCTGCTGTGGAATTATAGATAGTCGATATGGCCATGGTAGAATTATCAAGTAGTCAATTGAAGGCCGCTACCTTCGACTGTACACCAAACTCAATACTTTCCATTCAAGCTGGACCTGGAAGTGGGAAGACATTAACATTAGTCCATCGCATAAAACATTTAATCCAAACAGAAGGAATAAAACCGGAAGAAATAATTGTGTTATCAATGACTAATCGGACAGTCAATTCAGTTAGAGCATCATTACAAGCCATTCTAGGAGAACAACCACAACAAGACGAACAACAAGACGAACAGCAAGAACAACAACAACAAGTTAAAGTTCGAACTTTCCATTCATTTTCATCATATTTAATTGATAGTTATCTTTCTGAATATTTCCCTAATCAAACTAGAAAAGTAATTATGGATGATATTAGTTGGAAAAGTTTTCGAGAATTCTTCTTAAAAGCGTCTAATTCATATAAGAAGATAAAGCCAACAGAATTAGAAAGATTATTAGTTACTTTGAAAAATGGAGAAACTACAATTGATAAAGTTGCCCAACAATTACAGATCCCAGAAACAAAATTAAATGAAACCTTACAATATTTACAAGATAATGGAATGATTAGATATCTGGATTTAATTTCTGATGCATTAAAGATTCTTGATCAATCATTACAAATCAATAATAACCCAATTGAAGAAATTAAGAATATTAAAGTTATAATTGTTGATGAATTTCAAGATATGCAACCTTCTTTACTTAAATTAGTAGACGCATTATCCAATTATCCCCATGCACCAGACTCGATCGAAAAGAAGCATATTACTATAGCTGGGGATATGAATCAATGTATATACGGATTCTTAGGTTCTAATCCTGATATTACCCAAGAATTTCTTACTCAATATCGTGAGACAGCTTGGGAAATTAATGAATTGGCCCTTGATAAAACATTTAGATTAACTCCCGAGATATTAACCGCCGCAATTGATATTGCATTGAAACCATGTGATTTGCATCATCATCAAGGTATAAAGGAAGTCACCGCAGTTAAAGAATCATCATATAAACCAACAATGTATAGTTTAAGTTCAAACTTTGATGAATACAATTTTATAGCCAGTGAAATATCACGATTGATTTGTGAACTGGGAGGATTATTCAAATTTTCTGATTTTATGGTATTAACTAGAACAAATGGAGAAGTGGATATGATTGCGAAATTATTTAATAAAGATTATGGATTTAATATTAATAAATATACTCAATCAGCAGAATGGTTAAATACTAATATTCATGTTTTTTTGGATATTTTAAATATTTTAAATAATGGAAATGGATCTGATTTTGCATTGCTTTCAGTTTTGTTGAAGTTAGGAATTGGAAAACCTGCATTGTCGAACATTTTCCAATTGTATCAATTATGGAAGAAGAATAGTATTGGATTGGAAGAACAGAGACTAAAACAAAACAAATTAGAACAATTCTTAAGAGAACAATTAGTTGAAGCCACTGATTTCAATGAAACTACAAAATTGTTTAAGACTCGACTTCAATTAAATCAAAAAAGTATTATAATATCATTTATACAAACCATTAGTCAATCAAAAGCTAAAATGAACCCGAATAGCCCAATATCAATTCTTCAAACTTTGAATACAATTGTATCATCAACCGACCTCATGAATTATATAAATAAGCTCCCCCCCTCTAAAACCAAAGCACCTAATTATTTAGAACATGAACAAAAAATTATGAAAGATTTACAAGGATTTTATCAATCACTAAAGAATTTACATCAAGAATATGAATTTTCCGATTTAATAGTGAAACAACAACCATTTATTGAATATTTTCTTCATAATTGTTATGGTGATGAACCGGTGTATGATCCTAATGCAATTAATATCTCAACGGTACATAAAGCCAAAGGATTAGAATTCCCGGTGGTTTTTATTCCTGGTTGTAAATCACCTTATTCTAATTATCCCCCCTGGAATAAAATAATAACTTATAACGGAGAACCAAAACCAGATCCAGAAGATGGGAGATTATTATATGTAGCTATGACTAGAGCTAAGAATATGTTATATTTAGGTACTCCATTTCGTGATTCAATCAATAAGCTGTTTAGTCATAGTCCTCCAGTATTTGATTTTAGAGATGAGAAGAATAGGAGGTTTATTGGAAATATGGCGAATGATTTGAAAAGACCAATGGCACCACCAGAGAGAGTTATGGCGGGACAACAATTATATTCTAGTTTAATGTTGAATGGAAGTGTTAGATCTTATCATGTTTCGGTTAATTCATTGATTCAACCGTTTAAGCGGAAATTGATAATTTAATCGAAGTCAAAAAAATAAATTGTTTTGTGTGTCTGATAAAATAAAATTATATTTTTTTGACTTCTTTCAAAATTGCAACCGAGATTAATTAATTAATAAATTCATGTGAGTCAAAATTAAATTAAATTGCAATTTTAAATTACGTAACGTATGAAAGAATCGAAGAAGGTAAAAGTGATATTCAATTTTTTATAAATTTCAACAATTTCACTTATGAGCTTACACAGTCAAAGTATGCTATACACGGGAATGGATAAATACTTGTATGAATTTCAATTACAATTAAATACTACCACAACCACAAGTTCAATAATTAATCAACCTTTATTAAATGTATTTAAAAAGAAGAATTTACAAAATATAGATATAAATAAATTATCAGAATATGAACAACCAGAAGAACCACAACTACAACCAGAATTTGAATTTAATAATCCTACAAAATCTAAATTAAGTTGTATAAGATGTCGTAAATATAAAAAGAAATGTTCAAGAACATATCCTGAATGTTCAAATTGTGAATCATCATCTGAATTATGTAAATATATACCTAGAAAATCAAGAAATCCTCCATTACAGTCAATAGATTCAAATACTTATACAATGAAAAGGAGAAATAATACCCTACCCAATCTTCTTGATTCCAGAATTACTGAGACTAATAATAATCATAAAAATACAAAACGTAATAATTCATTACCAAATATAAACAATAGTTCTACTACTTTAATGACACCCAGTTCTACCACCTCATCCTCATCCTCATCCATATCATTGGATACATATCCTAATTATTATTCATATGATAAAAGAATAAAACCTAATGACTTTAATTCAATTCTAAATTAGATTTTTTAATATACATGTACACTTATTTTTTAATTTTGAACCAATTTAGATAATAATGACATAACATCATCATTTGTAGGACCACTACTACTATCACTATTTCCATTCCCCACCGAAGGATCATATTCATTATTATCATTATTATCAACCCCATTAGTACTATTAACCAGTTCATCATGTTCATGTTTTAATTCTAACAGATCTTTATGAGTATGTATCAAATTGGCAATTTCTTCTGATTCCGGTTCGGTATAATTTGATTCATTTTCATTTGTTTCATCATCTTGATCGTATTCTTTTACTTCTATATCTTCTGAAAATGCCACTCTTTTGGCCGAGGATGGGGTGGAGCCGCCGGATGGAGTTGGTGAGATTTTTCGTTTTTTTACAGGGTGGTCCAGTTCGTCGAGTTCGGGTTCTTCTTGATCTGAATCATTGTCTTGTTCATATGTGGGAAGGGAGTCGTCTTCTTCGTCGTTTGAGAGTGCTTGATATGTAGGAGATTCTTCCTCTTCTTCGTCTTCATCTTGATTGGTATATTCTAACATTGATTTTAATTCATTTCTTGTTTGATTTAATTTTAATAATTTTTCATTTATAATTCCAATTTTAGTTTCTTCAGTTTTACAACCTTCAATTAATAAATTTGATAAATTATCAACATATGATTTAATCTTAAGCTTTGTAGATTTAATTTCTTCAATATTATTAATTAATAATTTACTTAATCCTTCTAATGAATTTAATTTTGAAATATAAGTTTCTGGTGATGGTAAATTTTCTGATTGCAGGGGATCATCAGGTAAATAAGTTTTTGATTGATTACCAAATTGTGATAAATTAGTTTGACTTATTTCTGTTAATTTATTTAAATGAGTAAATAATTCATTAATATGTTTAAGTTCAGGGGCAATGGAAGAACTTGAAGATGAGCCCAGGGCAGCAGGGGTGGAAGTCGACGTTGTTTTCTCTTTAGATGAATCTGGGTTATTAGTCTTTTTCTTCTTCATTGTCTGTTTCAAAGTATCAATCTCTTGAGGTGAATAAATCTTTCTTTGTTGCCAAACTCCTAATAATCTTTCAATTTTTGGTTTTATTGATGAATCAACTGATTGATAAACCATGGGTAAAGCCCGAGGTAATACATTTATAAATTCATCCAAGAATTGCTGTTTTCTTTTACTTCTTGCTTGTTGAACAACATCATTACAAAGATATAATAATGATAATTTCTTCTTTGAATCAGATTGTTTATGATTCATAATATAATCTAACCAAATTTCAGTAATTTGTTTAATATGTTTTTGATGAAATAAAATCCAATTTGAAATTGAAACAATTGAATCTTGAGTTTCTTGTAAATCATCAAGTTTTCTTATTAATGAATTAGCTGAGAATGACATGTTGTTCTATCTATGTCTATGTATCTTTCTATTTCTTTTGATATACCACTTACACTTGAATAACAAATTTCTAATTGTCGATGAGTTTTTTGTTTTCTTCTTACTGTTACAACTTAATTAATATTTTTTCTGGTGTGTTACAAGTTTTGCATCTTTAGTGGAAAACAGTAGAAAGAGAGCAAGTCTATCTATCTATCTGTGGTTTGTTAGACTATTGTATTAATACAGACATTTAAACATTTATCTCAGGTAGCAATAAAGACAATCTAAAAAGAGCAATATGGTTACAACAAGAGGACATAAACGACAACTTACATCATCAATAATAATACCCAAAGATACAAAGGTACTACAGTCATCACAACAACAACAACAATCATCATCAACACAAACACCAAAGAAACAACAACAACAACAACAACAACAACAACAAAAGAAAGTGAATAGTTTATTTTCATCTACTCCAAATACAAGACCTTCAAGTTCATCATCTTCGATGTTAACACGTCCATCTACAAGTGGTAGTAGTAGTGGAAGGAGTGCTAGTGGTGGTATAACCAAGCAGAAGCAGAAGAGTAAGTCCAGTATTATAACAGAACATGATATTATCCAATGTAATAATAATGAAGACTTAATTGAATTAATAAATCAATTAACTAATACAGAACAAGATTTAATATTTAATAAATATAAAACTAAACAATTAGAACAATTAGAAAATGATCATTATTTAATTAAACAATTACAATTTGAATTAAAACAAAAAGAATTAAGAATTGAATCTTTGTTGCAAGACATTGATGAGTTGAGAGCTAATCAACAGCAACAACTGGCAGGATCATATGAATCACCAATTAGAAAAAGACAAAGAAATGATCAACATATAATTAAACAAGATCAATTTGCTAATGAATTAGAGAATATTGGTTTCACTTTAGATATGATTGAATTATTAACTGGAATTAAAGTTATTCATTTTGAAGAAGATGAATTTAAATTATATTTTCATATTAAACAATCTTCATCATCATCTACTTCATCTAGTACATCATCGCTACCAAATGAGGGAGTATTTATAAATTATCAATTAATTTTAAGTAAAGATACTGAAGGAAGTCTTAATTCAAGTCAAATTAATTATATACCAAGTTGGTTAGATTATTTAAATCAAGAATATTATTCTGATGAATATGAATTTAAATTAATTGAAAATTCAAAATATTTAAAAACAATATTACCAGAATATTTATGTGAAAATTTATCATTTCCATTTAATACTTTATCACAATTTTATAATAAAGTATCAAAAGCAATTAACAAGAAGCATTAACATTTCTATCTATCTATATGTATCATTCTAATCTAATTGTATTATAAGTTTATTATCATCTTGTTTAATAATTTCAATCTTTTTTAATAATTGTTTTAATTTCTTTGAATCATCATTTGATGCTTTCTTTAAAATTTTATAAAGATTTGAAGTTTTATTATTGGTTAAATATTGATGTAATGAATTGGTTTTATCCTTTTTATCTTCCTTCTTCTTTGATTCAACCTTCTTCTTTGGTTCTTCTTTCTTTGTTGGTTCCTCTTTCTTTTGTTCTACTTTCTTTGGTTCTTGAGTCTTTTGTTGCTGTTGTTGTTGCTTCTTCTTAGGACCTTTATATAATGCTTTTTCATACTTTTCAGCTTCCGAAATACAACTAGTATGATTTCTATAAGAAGTACCTTCAAATGTAGTAGAACAATCAATACATGAAAAATATGCTCCATAACATCGTTGAGTATGTTGATCTAATTTCTTCTTAATGATAGTATCATTACAAACTTCACATGAAAAGGAAACCATATTATTACTTCTTATTTATTTATAATCTTTTAGTTACTTAATATACAACTAGCCAACAAGTAGTAGAAGAAGTAAAAGAGATAAAAAGAAAAATAAAAAATAAATTTAATTTTGTTCGAGATGAGATTCATTCACTATAAGGATATAATTATTAAGCGAGGAAAAAATCATACTCTCTATCAGTTACTACTCTTAGTAATCTCATAATCTCATAATATGATTTATCATTTTATATTTGACATAATACTAATATTATTAGTTCCTAGTTATTATTAAATCAAACTCTATATACAAGATTTTTCATTAAATAAAATTCATTATTAACTTACAACTTTCTTATTTTTATTTCCCCTTGAATGAATGAAGAATAATCTCTCCCTTTCAAAAGTGATGATGATTTTATACAATCTATGTATGTAAAACATCATCTACCAAAAGACAATTACGCCCATGCTCTCCCTACCAAACAGGCTCTTCTCCTTCTTTTCTTTTAACTCTTACTATTTCATAATCTTCATTAGTTGATACTTCTTGTATATGATCTTTAAGTAATCCTTGTAATCGATAAAAATCTTCCTTTTTATCAAATACGCGTTTATTTTCAATCATATTCAATTGTTCTTCTTCATTCAATTGATGATATTTCTCATCATATCTTTCCCATTTAACTGCTGAAAATCGTTTAAGATAGAATGATCCAGCAACTACTCCTAACATAAATGGTAATCCTAAAAATATAAAATGATTCTTTTTAACTAATTTTTGATAACGTCCGGCAAATGTTTTATCATATGCTGCTTGTTCTGCTTTACCTCTAAATGGTTTAGATCCAAATGCTACCATGATCGTATATATCTATCTATAAGTATGCTTAATATAAGGATTATCCCATTGATTATTCCAATAAAATCATACGTTGGTTATGAATTTGGTTTTCATACCGGGGATTGACTTTTTTTCTGGTGGTCGTGTACTTTTACATTCTTTACAAATTGACTGTTGCAAAATTAAATTCAATTCATCTGAATTCATTTTACAACTTACATGGTTATATCAAAGGGTATTAAATCAACAATAAAACTATACTTAGGCATGATGAAGGACAATACATCAGAGAAATATCGTTTAATCGACTTCTTGAATTTGTCCACGGCGAATTAGACTTTTTTGATGAGGTTTTGACTCGTGTAGAATTTCCAACTAACACAACCTCCAAACGTCCCTCCCACACAAACATAACAATGTTCAATTGAATCTCGTATACGAAACAATATTAGAACTAAAAATAGTTGATGTGGTGCTTTTCCCCAATATTAATTCCAATCATAAGCTTCCTGAGCTTATTCCCAAACACAGATCAACCCCACCCTCCCCCCTTGTCTATATTTAGCAACATCCCTACCCACGTATCCCATATATCCCACATCCAATATCCCCACACATACATGTACCACATACCACAACATCCCACCCCACTCATCTCCTACAAGTATCTGACAAGTTGGTAAGATCTAGACCAATTTTTAAGTTTTAGCCTATAACACACATATCTGTCGAACATTGATCGTATGGAAAAACCCAATAGAGAGTATACACAAAACCCAAATCAAATTCCAAGAGAAACATGCCGAAACCCCATATTTAAGGTTTGAACACATTTGAGAATACCCGTAGAAGTTGGCAAGAAAATTTTTCCTTTCCAATTAGAATAATGTTACATTGAAAGGGCTATTATTCCGAATAAAGACGTCATACATGCCAAGAAATGTTTCGGAGTTTTCACGGATTAACTATTTTTTTATTGAAAGAAGAAGAAGAAAATATTTCTTACTTGTGTGTGTGGTTATATGATTGTGATAATCGTCACCCTGGAGCGAAATATTCTGCGTATCCTTTGTTCAGAAGGTTCTTCATGTTGCAATAAGATAGACTGATTGAAAATACCCTTGAAGTTTGGGGTACTTTTTGATAAGGTAATATTGCAACGTCATTTTCTTATTAGACACAATCAAGAAAAACTCACAAAAGAGTCATCTAAACGAACATTGACTCGTTCGGGAAAACCGTCTGTTTTGCCAAGAACTTGAAAAACTTTGAATAAAGCCGTGTATTGGGTTTCTATGTGTGTTATACTGCAAAATTACATTCACGTTTTTATACTATTTGCTTCGAAAAAGTTCAGTTGTTGCTAGGGTTATTATCGGTATTATTTCCATTATTGCTGTCTATCCTACAAAACACAATTGTTCCATTCTTTCCCCAAGCAAAATGAGAACATTAAGTACTTCATGTCCATAACAGAATCATTGAATTTGAACTAGTTTTGGTTGAATGTGGGAATTTACTTTAGTTAATCCCTCCCCTCCTTGGTTTACACAAATCTTAAATTAGAATTTAAGTTAAGAAATTTTTTGCATCAATTTTTTTTTCTTGATTTTTTCCACACAAAGTTTTGCAACAAAATTTTATCAAACCACCACCACCTTTTTCACACATCGTCACGTAATCAATGTTTCAGAAAACCCCGACCTGGAGGAGAAAATCACCCCAGACCCTTGGCCTTTTTCATTGCCCCCCAGGAAAGTAAAAGTACTACCTGAAAATTAAGTATAAATAGACTTGAATATTTCTTTCAATTTGAAAGTCCTGTTGTTTGTCTTCTTTTTCTTCTTCATTATACAACAACAATTTCCTATACAAAATGGGTTTAGAGGATAGTCAATTCTTACAAAAATTTATTAACTTCGGTGAAAAGAAAGCCGGTTCAACCACAAGAAGTATCTTAGTTGGTTTATTCGCTGCCTTTGGTGGTTTCCTTTTTGGTTATGACACTGGTACCATTTCTGGTATTTTAGCCATGCCATATGTTAAAGAACTTTTCCCCGCTGATCATACCGCATTCAGAGCTGATGAAAGTTCTCTTATTGTTTCGATTTTATCTGCTGGTACTTTCATTGGTGCATTATCTGCCCCATTATTTTCCGATAGAATTGGTCGTAGATGGACCTTGATTATTTCTACTTTGATTGTTTTCAATATTGGTATTATTTTACAAACTATTGCCACCACCATTCCACCTTTAGTCGCCGGTAGATTTATGGCTGGGTTAGGTGTTGGTTTAGTTTCTGCTGTTTGTCCATTGTTTATTGCTGAAACTACTCCAAAATGGATTAGAGGTGCTATGGTTTCCACTTATCAATTAGCTATTACTCTTGGTATCTTCTTGGCTGCTTGTGTTAATCAAGGTACTTCCACCAGAAATGATACTGGTTCTTATAGAATTCCAATTGCTTTACAATTCCTTTGGTCTATTATTTTAGGTGGTGGTATGTTTTTACTTCCAGAAACTCCAAGATTTTATGTTTCAAAAGAAAATTATTATGAAGCTAAGAATTCTTTAAGGAGATTAAGAAAATTACCAATTGATCATCCAGATTTAATTGATGAATTTGAAGATATTAAGGCTAACTATGAATTCGAAAGTCAATATGGTAAAGCATCTTGGGGCAAAGTTTTCCAAAACATCAACAAACAACACAGAAGATTGTTTATGGGTGTTACCATCCAAGCTTTACAACAATTAACTGGTATCAATTTCATCTTTTACTATGGTACTCAATTTTTCCAAAACGCAGGTATTTCAAATCCATTCACCATTCAACTTGCCACTAATATTGTTAATGTTTGTATGACTGTTCCAGGTATTGCTTTGATTGAACTTTTAGGTAGAAGAAAATTATTATTATCTGGATCTGTTGTTATGGCCGTTTCTCAATTAATTGTTGCCACCGTTGGTGTCACCACTGATTCCAAGGTTGCTAATCAATGTTTGGTTGCCTTCACCTGTATTTTCATTGCTGGTTTTGCAGCCACTTGGGGTCCATTATGTTGGGCTGTTGTTGCTGAAACTTATGCTCTTAGTGTTAGACAAAAATCAGTTGCTCTTTGTACTGCTTCCAATTGGTTATGGAACTTTGCTATTGGTTATGCTACTCCTTACATGGTTGATTCTGGTCCAGGTAATGCTAATTTAGGTTCTAAAGTTTTCTTCATCTGGGGTGGATGTAATTGTATTGGTTTCCTCTTTGTTTATTTGTTTGTTTATGAAACTAGAGGTTTAACTTTAGAACAAGTTGATGAATTATACATGAAGGTTGATCAAGCTAGAAAATCTCCATCATTCGTTCCATCTGAACACGCATTCAGAGAAGAATTGGCTATTGGTAAGCCAGAAGTCGAAGAAGTTGAATCAAAGAGTGTTTAATTTCTGAAATGAATAATGACAATTTTTATGAAGTTTAGTTAATTGTTGTCTTTTATCTAATTCTAATTTAGTTAGTTAATTTCTAATAAGTATTTTAATATGAAGTTCTTAAAATGATATTTTTAAAATATGTGTTTATGTAGAATCAATAGNTTAATTTCTAATAAGTATTTTAATATGAAGTTCTTAAAATGATATTTTTAAAATATGTGTTTATGTAGAATCAATAGAAATAGTTGTTTCATCTGATAGTAAACTCGTTTGATTATCATGATACCTTATCTTTGGTCCTTTTCTTTAACAATAAGTTAAAGATTATTGTGGATTTATTTAAATGTGAAGAATTCTTCATATTTTTTTATTCTTTTATTCTTTGCGGGGGATCCCACAACAACTATGGAAACGATTTTAAAAAAATACAATAACTCCTTCCATTTAAGAATACTTAAAGATTCATTGAGTAATTATGAAAGCAACTAATGTAGTACACTAACAAGATATATCACAATCATATATGTATCACGTATTAAAAAATAAAAACAATTAAGAACTTAAAAAATAATGAAACTAATGTGACAATAAAATAAATTCCTTTGTGTTGCGTTTTTAGCGATGTCTAAAATATTTCGGCTAAATGACTCGTAATATAAAAATGGGATATGATGAAAATGAAGTAACCAATTTTATACATTATCCAATCACAGCTACTATATTTTCTTTATGGCTCCCTAAACAATATCCATGTCGTGGGTACATATACTTGTTTTGGTAACGAGTTGTGTTTTCTTGGGTTGGCCCTGGTCTACTTTCATAGAACCTCCATCTAAAGATGATTTCTACATTCCCCCGGAAGGATTTGAATACTCAAACCTTGGCGATATACTAAATGTTAGGATGGTAATTAACCAGATTGGTAATGTGTTCCCAGCAGGTGTTAAAAACATTTGGCAAGTATTAGTTAGATCACAAGATTCTTTTGAAAACCCGAATGCAATTGTCACAACCATAGTTGAACCATATAATGCTGACCCAACAAAAATAGTTTCCTATCAAACATTTGAAGATGCCGCAAATATAAACTGTTCTCCTTCTTATACATTACGTTATGGAACAACCCCAACAATCGCGACCTTTGTGGAAATGCAAATGATATCGATGATTTTAGAGAGTGGTTACTACTTGGTAATCCCAGATTATGAAGGTCCCAAATCGGCATTTGCTGTTGGAGGACAATCATCCAATGCAATTCTTGATTCTATTAGAGCTGTCGTCTGGTAATATAACTGGAATAAGAATGGACGCCAAAGTTGCAATGTGGGGATTTTCTGGAGGTTCTCTAGCAACATCCTGGGCAGCAGCATTACAGCCTTCTTACGCATCAGAACTATCGGATAATTTGGTTGGAGCTCTTTTAGGTGGACTCTCGAGTAATATAACGAGAGTGGCATTTGCAAATGACGGAACTGTGAGAGCAGGACTTATACCGTCTTGCATTATAGGGTCTGGTAATGAATATCCCGAATTTAAGAAAAAGATATACGAAGAAGTACATCGTTCACGAAAATTCGCATTAGAAACTGGTGAGAAATACTGTATGCTAAAAGCTGTAGCAACCAATCTATGGAGAAACTTCCTCAAAGGTACAAGACCAGTTTTTCCCAAGGGCCCGACATTGTTACAAGAGGAAGTTATTGCAAAAGTAATTGAGGAAAATTCCTTGATAAATTTCGCAGATACACTTATACCCGAGATTCCCATCTTGATCTACCATGGATCATTGGATAATATTGTTCCTATCGAAGATCCAAGATCACTCTACGATTCATGGTGTCAAAATAATATTGGCTCCTTAGAGTTTGCCGAAGATATGACTGCAGGACATTTTGTTGAAATGTTTGCCGGAATTCCATCTGCAATTGCTTGGATAAAGGCAAGATTCCAAGGGATTAAACCTGTCGAAGGATGTGTTCACAATAGGCGAACTTCTAACCTTCTTTATCCGGGAAGCATACCAGCCATATTTCAATACTATAAAAGGTTGTTGGTACCTGCAATGATTAGACAGCTTGAATTATATGAGAAGGCTAGCAAAGATTCCCAGATTTCAGAGAAGACAATAGACGTTCTCATAGGCAGGTAGCTAGAATGCACATAGAGCATAGATAAGAATGGGATAATTTCATGTTTCTCCTTGATTAAATATTGTCAATTATTGTATGTCTTCAAATGGTTTTGGAATGATCAAGATTTAGATTCCCAATGAATTAAACATTACTCTATAGGATTCATCGATTTATTTATTTGAATCACACGGTTGTGGGCATTTAATTGATAATTTTCTATCGTATTGTTTGACAATTTAATGTACTGTTATAATTCATTCTCAAAATTAATCTTCTATTCACTTAATTTATTTGGCATTATTGGATTATTTTATGCGGAACATAGTTTACTTAAACCCAAAATCGATTACTGAATTCAAGATCTCTTGTGCCAAATGTGATTCAGTAGATGTTAATGAATCTTGTGGTGGAGTTCTCATTAATTGTGTCTACACATTTTGAAATAATATTTAGGGCGTTGTTTTTATTGGCTGAAGGCCATGATGGCGTATTATTATACATAAATGATATATCTTTTCATTATTGCTTGCTGCGTTTGATTAATTGTTGGAAAGTAATGAAGAGATAAAACAACTGGTGATAAGTTTCTAGAAATTGCTTATAAATTTGTCATTGCGAAGAGCCAAAACAAAAAAGTTGAACTTGATTTTTTTCTGTCTTTATAAAATTCAAGTAATCATCATCAAATTTCCCAAATCCATCATTCAACATGACACTAATCTCGATTCAGACTATCAATAGCATGAATTGCATTTTGGTTCAGTATCAATAATGATGGGTCTTTTAATTATGGAAATGTTTATAGTCATCAAGAAGTATTTTCTTTGAAGTGAATGTCAGCCTTGCCATCACCGCTCATACTTGATAAGAGAAGATTATAAATAGATTAACAAT